GACAGTAACTGCATGTCATTGCTGCGTGTGACTGAGCCCACACTCAGCACAGTCCTGAGGGACTTTCTCCCCTTTCTCTGAGGGAGACTCTGAGAGCCAGTGGTTTGCCCACAGCTACCCAAGACCACCTGCTCCCTCCTCGAGCTCAGCACCCTGAGGCCTGGCCCTTGCTGCTCAGGGCTCCTGTGCCAGCTCAGCCCCCTCGGGAACACACCTGGTGCTGGTCTGCTGCTCCTTCAAAATGTCTGAGGCAGGCTGAGCTTCCCACTGACACCAACGCACACCCAGAAGTGGCAGGAATGGGGAGAGAGAGGACCTGATGGGCCCCACAGGCCCCACACTGCTCCTGCCTTCGCTTGCCCTCGGCCTTGTGCTTCTACATGCATGAGGCCTGGGGAAGCGGCTGGGGTTTGGTCCCCAACTGGGTCAGAGACTTGATGGAAGTGGGGGGCTGACCCTCTAGTCTTGGCTTAGTGGTGGCAGCAGGGATGTAGGGACCAAGGAGAAGCGACAGCATCCCCTCACCCACTTAGCTACACTTGGGTCACAACAATGACTGCTGCCTGGTGGTCACCTGCTGTCTCAGTTACTTTTCTCATTGCTGAGACAAAATACCTGACATCCAAAGTTCATGGAGGAAAGGTTTATCTGGCTCATAGTTTGCAGAGGTTTCTGTCCATAGTTGGCTGGCTCCAAGGCAGGGTGGCATGGCCGACAGGCATCACAGAAGAGAAACAATTCATGGAGGACAGAAGGCAGCAAAGCAGCAAAAGCATCAAGTGACAAGCAACCCCAGCAGCCCTCTTTCTGTCCCTTATGTTCTGTCCAGTCTACCCACCCTTAGCACTCACATCCAGGGAGGCCCTTCCCATTATTCACTCCCAGAACTATGTCAAACCTATCAGTGGACTAATTTTGTAATCACATATCTTTGATCCCAGCATCACATGCTTAATCCCAGCTTAACACACTCTAGATCTAGCCACCTATGAAAAGCCCCACCTATGAGTACCTGAGGCTTTGGGGGGACATCTAGACACAAGCCATAGCACCTGTCCAGTGCCAAGCTGAGTGGTCAGCTTCTATACACCATCAAGTGAAGTCAGAGGCTCAGCAGCAGCAGGCACAGCCTGGCCCCAGAGCCATGGTGCCAGCGCCTCCAGGCTCAGCCTCCTGCAGCTCCCAACCCTCTACTATCCCTCTCTCCTGACTCCAGATGAAGCCAGAAGTTGTCAGCCACCCTGAGCGATTTTCTCTGATCTCCTCAGAACACCCCTTCATTGTACCTGGGGGACGCTTTGTCGAGTTCTACTACTGGTGAGTACCCAGGTCCAAGAGGCCAGGGGGCCCTACAGGGGCCAGCAATGTTAGGAACCCAGAGCCAGTGCCCTGCCAGCTTGCTGTGCAGAGAAGAGAGCAGCAGTGGAGTAATGCCTTTCTGCCCTTCTCCAGGGACTCCTACCGGGTCAGAGAGGGTCTGCTCCTCTCTGAGATGGCAGAGACAGTGAGAGGCATGCTGCAGAACTTCCTGGACCTGGTCAAGACGTAAGAAGAGGGCTGGAGGTGAAGTGATGTGCCATGGGCTTGGGCACAGGGTGTCTCAGCAGGACTCTGTCTTGGCAGCTATGGGCATATCCCCAACGGTGGACGTATATACTACCTGCAACGGAGCCACCCCCACTCCTGACCCTCGTGATGAATCGATACCTGACTCACAGCAACAATAGCACCTTCCTTTGGTGGGTACCTCACCTGTGCTGCCCCGCAGGCCCGCCCCTCCCTGAGACCTCCTTGGTGGGGGGTGGGGGGGTGGGGCTTGCTCAGGCTAAGGTGTTGCATATGGGACTCCATCCCAGGGAAAACATCGAGACCCTGGCCTTGGAACTGGACTTCTGGACTGTGAACAGGACTGTCTCTGTGAACTTGGGAAGAGAAAGTCACATCCTGAATCGATATTATGTCCCTTATGGGGGACCCAGGTGAGGAACTGCCCAGCCCAAGTGTCAACCTCTTGTCCTTCACTCTAGTATGAGCATCACAAAGATAGGGCTGGAGGAGGAAGAATTTAGTCCAGCCTCTCAGATGTGACACTGAGTGCACTCAGCCACCCAGGACTATGAGGCCCCAGGGCAGCTGAATCAAGAGGGCTGGACCTTCTGTTTGAGCAGAAGACTCAGTGTCTGGTAGTGCCAACCTGCTCATCTCTCCTCTCTGCCAGGCCAGAGTCCTACAGCAAAGACGAGGAGTTGGCAAACACCTTGCCGAAAGGTGAGCAGCACCAGGAAGAAGGGCAGAGGAGGGGTGGCTGGACCTGTGGGGTATATGTCAGGCCTTGCTCTGCTGCTACCTTATCCTGCAGCCAGGCCTGGCCTGGGCCCCCTCTCTGTCCTTACAGGGGACCCAGAGGCTTTGTGGGCTGAGCTCAAGGCTGGCGCTGAGTCAGGCTGGGATTTCTCTTCCCGCTGGCTGGTTGGAAGCCCACACCCTGACTTACTCAGCAGCATCCAAACCAGCAAACAGGTGCCCGTTGACCTGAATGCCTTCCTGTGCCAGGCAGAGGAGCTGATGAGCAGCTTCTATTCCAGACTGGGTGAGGACCGGGGGAGGGTGCTGGCCAGTGGCCACCTTGGCAGTGGAACTTCTGGGAGACCCATAGGATGAAGGGCTCCCCAGCCTGCTCAAACTCTCTCCAAGAGAGGCCAGTGCTAACACCGTGCAACACAGGGGTACAAATGGAGCCCACCACATCTTCACACTGCCTTCCCTTTCCTACCGTGAAGGTCTCTCCAAATGCCCTCCACTCCCTCTCCCCAGCGCTGCCCCTTGGCCCCCTCAGAGCCAGAGAATTCATAAAGTCAGTGTCCTGTGGAAGATGGACCTAGCAGACACACCATTGTCAGGTGCTCTGCAAGCTACAGGCAGGAAGTGTGTGCTGCAGGGAGGCCCGACCCCCTGGGCCTCAGGATAGCTTAGCCCTTGAGGAGGAAGACAAATGGAGGAAGGCAAGGTAGAGCTGGAGCTGGCAGTATAGCTCAGCACAGCACTCGCCAAGCATGCGCAAGGCCCAGGGCTTCATTCCCAGCACTGCAAAACAAACAACAGAAAACAAAATACAAAGTAGAACCATCTAAGGCAGGGGACCCAATAGCAGGCTCAGTCTAAAGGCAGTGCCTCTCAGGGGACGACGCCCAGGCTGCCAAGTACAAAAGCTTGCGAGCCCAGCGCATGGCCGCCATGCAGGCTGTCCTGTAGGATGAGCAGAAGGGTGCCTGGTTCAACTATGACCTTGAGAACAGGAAGAAGAACCTCGAGTTCTATCCATCCAACCTCACCCCGCTCTGGGCCGGCTGCTTCTCTGACCCTGGTGTTGTGGACAAGGCTCTGAAATACCTGGAGGTGAGGGGACAGTGGGCGGCTGTGGCCCCTGGAACAGAATGTCCCCAGAATGACTGAGCAGAGAGAGACCTGGCTGCACCAGCCACTCTTGCTGCCTATGCCTGTTTTACCCTGTGGGTCTTGCTGTGGCCACCAGAGGACAGCAGAGAGCCAAGGAGAGAAGGGCCAGGGAGGACACAGCTGGCTGGCTGCCTGAGGCCCCAGGGTCCTTCCTGGCTCCCTGTCCAGGCTCCACCCACAGTCACAGCAATGCCTGGAACCTTCTAGGACAGCCAGATCCTGACCTACCAGTATGGGATCCCCACCTCTCTCCGGAACACAGGCCAGCAGTGGGACTTCCCTAATGGCTGGGCCCCTCTCCAGGACCTGGTCATCAGAGGTAGGCAGACAGGAATGGGGCATCCTCCAGGGACCAAACCCAGAGTGCAGGACTTGGCCGCCCTGGTACTGGGGAGGCATGAACAGGGATGCAGGGCTCCGCGTCCTTTCTCTGGCTCCTGTCTCTTGCCCCCACCCCGTCAGCAAGCGGGTTGCCCCACCTGTCCAGTGGGACCAGCCTCCTCTCTCCCTCAAACCCAGGTGCTGGATTACGAGCAGGTTGGCCTGTGGTTCCAGGGAGGAGGTCTTAGAGCCCAGGCCTCTTCCCCTCCCTGGGGACAGGAAGGCCTGGCCCCTGCTCTGCTGAGGTGGGGGCTCTGGGGATTCAGGTCTTGCTGGGTTGGGGTCTAGGCTTGGCCAAGTCATCTTCACCTCGGACCCAGGAAGTGGCTTTCCAGCTGGCCCAGAATTGGATTCGAACCAACTTTGACGTCTACTCACAAAAGTCAGCCATGTATGAGAAGGTGAGCTGGCATGGGGTGTCCCTCTGACTCCTCAGGCAGGACCCCCTCCCCAGGTGAGGTGGGGAAGCGGAGGGCTTTGCTGGGCCCAGGACAGCCCAACCCGGGCTGTGGCGGCACCCAGTGGCCATTTCCTGGTACTGCAGGGGCTGTGAACAGAGCAGCTTCTCCCCAGGGGACTCCTGTGGGTTGCTGCCCTGGGCCTGGGAACACTGTGTGACCTCCAGTCATGCTCTTCTCCCCAGTATGACATCAGCAATGGACAGCCGGGCAGTGGAGGGGAGTATGAAGTTCAGGTGAGCTGGCATCGCCTTACAGGGAACCCCTGGCTCTGTCACCCCCCCACAACCAACATGAGCCCTCAGGCCTCACTGTGGTCACCTGTATGTGAGCCCACCTACACGGGAAAGACTGACCAGTGCTCCTTGGTACCCCAAGAGGGGAGGACATGACATCCCTAAAACAGGGCTTGGGTCTCCCCCAGACTCTGACCTGCTGGCCTTGCCTCTCTCCAGGAGAGGTTTGGCTGGACCAACGGAGTGGCCCTGATGCTCCTGGACCACTATGGTGACCGGCTGACCTCAGGGACCCAGCTGGCTCTCCTGATGCCCCACTGCCTGGTGGCCACCTTTCTGTTCCACCTCCTGCTGAGCTTCTTGTCATAGTGACCACAGTGGCCTCAAGGACTGAGCAGGAGGGTGGCGTCACTCCCACGTCTGCCCCCATCTGGCTCCAACTCCTACCTTATTAAACCTCTGCACCTGGCCTAGTGTGGTGCTGGCCTGTAATCCCAGCACTCTGCAAGGCTGAGACAGGACCCCAGCCTGGGTAACTTAAAAAGACCCTGTCTCAAATAAAACATTAAAAAAGGCAGGCCTGGGTTCAATCCCAAGTACCAGCAAAAAAAGAAAAACAAGAAACACCTTCCCTTCCTTCTGCTTCTGACCTCCTTCCTACTTTATCCTCTGTCCTATGTGTATGTAGGGCAGGGCAGTGACATGGATGGCAGGGGGTGGGACCTGGGTCCCTCCTGGAACCTCTATAGAGGTAGATATCCTTTTCTGAGGGGAAGGCCTAGCCCCATCACCCCAGGTACCCCAGCCCCACACCACACAAGTACGTAGCCCAAATGCTTTATTGTTCCGCTGAAATGCTTACAAATACTGAAAAACACCCAGCCCAGCCCTAGGCAACCAAGGACCCAATGCTGGGGACAAGGGCAGGGGAGGTGGGCTTAGTGTTAAGGCGTGAAGGGCTGAGGCCAGACAGCTGAGGCCTGGTCCTCCACTCTCCTTCTCCATCACCCTTCAGAGGCAGAAGGGAGGAGACAGCCAGAGCTCAGGCCCCTGTCTGTAGCTCCCTCTTGCTCAGGCTTTCATTGAGTGCCAAGCAACCCTCCTCCCTTTCTGTCAGCACCTGGAGGATGGCCCTTTTAGTTTCCTCTCCTGTGCACAGCACTGCTCCTCTGGCCGTGGATCCCCAGCATCATCCCTTCTGGCTCTAAGCAAGGCACAGTGGAAGGGAGAGGTGAGACTAGGGGCAGCAGGCTGTGCGTCAAGGCTGGAGACACAGGCAGGGAGCAGGTGTTCGTCCCTCCCCCCAATATAAGGTGCCTGTGGGCCTGGGCTGGAGAGATGACGGTGCGTACCCTTAGACAGCCCATTGCTGAAGCAGTGGGCTGAGCCGTGGAGCCGTGGCAGTTAGTACTGTTACCATGGCAATGGAGAGCAGTCACCATGGAGACCACGGTGATGGGTCTCCAACAAGGGGATGGGGCTGGGACCTCAAGGCTGACACTTGAGGTCTCTGGCCTTTGAGCCAAGTAATAAAAAGTAAAAATGAGGCAGAAGGGCGAGGCAGAGCACACTGCCTGAGCTGCTGCCCGATTCCAGATGTGGCTCTTCTTGGCCCCTGAGGCCCCTCAGAGGGGGTGAGGCAGGAGGGGATCTTTGGCAGATTCTGGTACCATAATTTGTCCTTTACAAGGAGAAAACAGGCCAGGGAGAGTAGGCGCCAGGTCAGAGTTGGCCCTCTCCAACAGCTCTTCAGTGCTGCAGGCCCAGGCACAACCCTGAACAGATCTTGCAACTCCTGGGCTCCTAGGAGCCAGCATATCCCCTCCCCAGCTTTCCTCTTCTGAGCCCAGAAGCTCACAGGACTGAGCTCCTTACAGAATATTACAAAGTCTTCTTGCACGAAAGCCCTGGTGACGCTCTGTGCTCACTGGGTTACTCTTATCTCCAGGGGTGAGCACAGCAATAGATGCTGGGCAGGGGTCCAGGAGGCCCACGACAGTCAATTCATGAACTGAGTGTAACCCTCTGCCCCTGTGACAATGACATCCATCCAGATGCGCATGGCCTCTGCAGATGGGGCCACCATGTAGTACAGCCGATCGTGGGTCTTCACGCAGAAGGTGAGAGCTGGGTTCGGGCTCTGCTGAGAGAAGAAAGGAAGGTCCTGAGGTGGGGCTCACCCAGACCCAGAACATCCCACCTCGCCTGTCACCTTTCCCTCACAGGCCCCAGGAAGCACTGGACCTTAGGGGCTGAGTCCTAAATGGGCCAAAGCCTCGTCCCCACTGCTCCAAGTGGACCCCAGGCTGAAATGCTCCCCCTCTTGAACCATAGCTCTCTAAGCCCTCTGGACCCTGGCAAGGGCACATTTGGCTGGAGGCACTGCTCCCTGCACCCCCAGGTTCAGAAGTGAATATCAGAGAATGAGTCACATAGGGCTCAGTGAGAACAGTCTCTCCTCAGCAAAGAAGAGGAATATAGGAAAAGCTATATGCAGGATGGAGGCCAGGGCTGCAGAAAAGCAGTAGTCAGGGCTGGGGCAGGCATGGAAGGGTTGGTGGGAGGGAGGCTGGCCCCAGCCTCATACACCTGCGGCTTATTAACTCCCCCATTCAAATCCAGTCTCTGAGGCTCCTCTGCCCTTTCTGCTCTCCTTTCTGTACTGCCTGTCCCCATAGAATGACATCCTGCTGCCTTCTCCAGAAAAGGAGGCAGCAAGTGCACTCAAGATCTACTCCTCCCTCAAACATGGGACAAGTTAGAGGGAAGAAGGAGAGTCAAGGGTCGGGGGAGAGAGGGCCCAGGAAGTGTTAATGTGTGTAGTTCTGGTTACAGGCATGTGGGGCGGGGTACCTCAGTCACCACAGTGAAGCAGAAAAACCTCTTCTGGGAAGGGGAGAGGAAGAGAAAGTTGACAAAGAGAAGAACTGGACCGGACCCACTGCAGAGGCTGCATCCTCAGCTCCCAGAGCCCCCCCAAGCCACCCCTTCCCTATGGCTGTCCTTCTTGCCCCTCTGCCATTCGCTGCCTCTGACCTTGGCAGCACTGCGCAGGTGGTCATAGTACACTTCCTCGATGGCCTGGAAGTAGATGACCCCCTTCAGCTTCGTCTCGTGCTTGTCTGCAAATGGGAAAGGGCTGGACTGAGGAGGCTGCTGGACTCCCAAAGCAGGAACACCATGGGCATGGCGCTCTGGTCCCAGCCTCCTGGACTCCAAAACAGAGCCCACAGGGAGCCTGAAGATACAGGAAATGCTGAGCCCTGCTTGTCATTACAGAAATGTACATCAGATACCAGTGCGTTATCACCAATCACCCATCAGAACAGCAAAAATATCCACCATACTTTCAGCAAGGCCGTGAAGAAACAGGCAGTCTAATAAAGAACGAGGGGTAATATAAATTGGTAAAACCCTTGCTCATGTCTATCAAAATTAGGCACTTGATCTTTGAGCCAGTGACATAAATACCTAGATACAAATATTTTTGGTACAGAAAGACCTCATTAGGTGGTAAACAGGAATGTATTGTCCACTACATCTTTTTTTTTTTTTGGTACCGGCAATCGAACTTGGGACCTTGTGCTTGCGAGGCAGGCGGCAAAACCACTGAGCTAAATCCCTGGCCCCTGTCCACTACAGCTTATGGAAGAAAAAGTGGTAAAAATAATGTGTTTGCATTTGCTTGATCTCCCGCAGAGATCCCAAAGGATACACAAGACAGTAATAACAGGTAGAATATTTCTTGACTTAAGCTTTTTCATACATTTTGATTTCTGAACTACACGGATACATGTATTGAGTATTACTAAAGGAAGAAGGCACAGGCCAGAGCCCTGGGGACATGGGTAACACTCAGCCTCATGCAATGCATAACCCAACATCTGGGGTGGTGCGCAGGCAGGAGGATACTCTGCCAGAGCAGGACAACCACTCGGGCAGAGGGGCAGGAGCACAAGCGAAAGGTTAGGGCCTGGGCCACCCTGTCTGGCGTAAACCTGCACCAGCAAGATGACTGACCTCCTCACCCAAGAGCCTGAGTCCTACAGGAAAAGCTGGGCTAATCACTAAACTCAAGTGAGAGGTGGCAGTACGCTCCTTCTCCAACCCGTTTTTTCAGGCCTGAGTCAGGGACACTGGCAGGCTGGGTCCCTGCCCCACCCTCTTCCCCTTCCGCTTATTTCCCCTATGCCATAGGAGGAGCTTCGGAAGGCAAATAAAATCCTGCTCCAGCCCACAAACTTGAACCAGCTGCCTCCTTGGCTTGGCAAAGACTGTTCAGGCTGCTGCCAACGCAACTTGCCTCACCACCTCCCCTGCACAAACGCCAGGTTCAATGGGGCCAGGATGAGCTTCTCACCATTCCCTCACAGCACATTCTTCATACACTGGAACGCTCTCCAGCACACTCCCTCGACAGACTCCTAAGTGAGGGGGTGCAGCTATGCATCCTCTATATAGTGTGCCATGCTAGCCAGGCGTGGTGGCACCCGCCTATAACTGCAGCTCTCAGGAGGCTGAGGTAGGAAGATCTCCACGAGTTTGAGGCCAGCCTGAACTGCATAGCAAGACTCTGTCTCAAAAAACTAAAAAACAAACAACCATTTGCTATGCTGAATCTGAAACCTCCTCTATACATTCATAGGTCCACCTCCTCTGGCAATGTACCAAGCACATAGCAGGTCCTCAATCAGTGTGGAATGAATGACTGCCAGGCACTAGGATCCAGAGAGATGCCACCCATCTTCCCGGGAGTATCCACCTCATGGGAACTGACAATGGAGTGGGAGGAAGGTACAGACACGCAGCTGCCACTAGCTGGAATGGTTAGGAATTCCACAGCACACCTCCACATCTTAGGCTGTCAGGAGTAGTAAACATGAGAACATATGCAAAGTAGTCAGCACGGTGTCTGGCACCCAGTGTGGCATCCATCCCTGGGCTGTCACATGGCAGACAGACCCCAGGTAACTGCAGGAGCTCAGAGGAGAGCGGGAGGTAGACTCCTGTGAAGGTAGATGCGGAAGACTTCAGAGAGGTGGCGTCTAATCTGACCCAGTACCACAGGGTTTCTACTGAGGAGCAGGAGGCTGCAGGCGCCACAGGCAAGGTACACCAGGTCCTGATCCTGCCACACCCAACTCCACCATTTCCCCCTTGGGACAAGGACCCTGGCTCCATGCCTGACCACCCTTCAGGCTCCCTCCTTCACTGCAAATAGTAACACGCTCCTGCTCCCACTTCCTAACTGCCCACCGATCCTTGATCTTGTGCAAGCTGGCTCCTGCCCCACTGCTCTGCGGAAGTGCGCTCTCCACAAGCTCCAATCCCTGAATCTAACGGCCTTTGGGCCACCTCACTTTTGGCCCTTCTGCAGGATCCATCATTGCTGGTAACACCTCCTGTTGCAAAAGCTCACTTCTCTGGCTGTGTGCCTTCCTTGTTTCCACTGCCTGCCTAAACATGGTCTCCTTTTGTTTTACAGACATTAAGTAAGGTCACACTTGCCAAGTGCCAGCCCAGCACCCGGCACCAGGTCAGTGCTGGCTCCCTGCCTCCTGCTCCTTCTGCATGTGCTGGTCTCTCCTCCTCTCCTTCCCCGCCAGAGGAGGTCTGCGCCAGCTGCAGTACTCCCTCCCTCTGCTCTGCCTCTTAGGAGCTGTGAGACCTTGGCAATGTATATGCCTCTGAGTCTCATTTTTTTATCTGTAAAGTGGGTATACACACAGTGGTTTTCTCATGGGGTTATTACAAAAATTAAATGAGATGATGTGTGTAGAGTACTGAGCACAGCACTTGGCTCATACAAAGGCTGGTAAATATGACCTGCTGTTATTGTGACTGTTGTGATTATTATTCCAACAGACTCAGCTGTCGCTCTGCCTCTAACCTTGACCTTGCTCCTAAACCCAGGTGTCCCAGAGGCTCCTCAAACTCAACATACTCACAATGCAGCTCTTCTGCCAGGCCTGTTTCTCCCTCTCCCAACAAAGACCCTGCCTTCCTAGCCCAGGTGAAAAGGTGGGGACACTTGTGCCTCTGTCCATCCACACTCAGGGCCCTGGGGGTCAGAGAAGACCTCTTGGAGGGGGTGACACTTGGTAAGGGACCAGGTTGGAGAGGGAAGCGGGGCACTCCGAGCCTGGGCATCTCTGGCACCAAACACGGCAGACCTTTCCTCTTGGGCTTCTAGTAGGATTGCTCAGTCTGGGTTGTGGGTCACCTCCCAGGAGGGGCATTTACTGGCAATGCAAGGCCTACTTTTCCCTCTGCCATCGTGGCTAGCAATATTCTTGAAAAGCACGCTCTGAAGCAAACAACACTGATGCAGAGCCAGGGATTTAGCTCAGTGGTTCTGTCACCTGCCTGGCAAGCAGAAAGACTCAAGTTCGATCCCCGGTACCAAAAAAAAACCAAAAAACAAACCCTGAGGCAGAGAGGAGCCCCCCACCCACCCGATGCACAGAAGAGATATACTGGGAAGAAGAAGGAAACTCGTGGGGTGTCATGGCACACACCTGTAATCCCAGCACTCTGGGAGGCTGTGGCAGGAGGATCACAAGTTCAAACCCAGCCTGGGCAATGTAGCAACTTAGTGAGACCCTGTCTCCAAATAAAGAATTTAAAAGGGCTGGGGATGTAGCTCAGTATGAAGGCCTTAGGTTCAATTCCCAGTACCACAAATCAAAACAAAACAGAAAAGGAAACTGGTTTTGAGCCGCTGGGATTTGAGGACTGGTTGTTGCTGCAGCACACCCTAGCAACTCCTGACTAGGGCATGATCCAGTACCCCCCACTCCAAATAGGAAACGTCCAGAGGGAATTCCAGAGATGGGAAACTGTTGGAGTGAGGGGGCTAACAGAATGGGATGGGGCAGTTGCCTGCCCCCTCGCTGTCCCAAGAGCTCTATGGCACTGCATAACTGCTCATGTTGAAGTCTCTAGGGAAACTTGCCCAAGGAGATCCCCAGGCCAACCCATGCACCTACAGCGCCTATCACAAACCCATTAACTCTGTTCAGTATCTGCCTTCCTGGCTGTAAGCTCCAAGGACAGAGCTTCCCTCCAGCACCCACAATGCTGCCTGTAATTATTGGGTGAGCAGTAATACTGCTGACTCTGGAGTAAGCGAGTGAATGAATGAATAGATGGATGGATAGAGGTGAACCAAACATATTCTACACTTTCAGGGAGGAGAGGACAAGACCCAACCTGAGCCTCGGGGTCCCTTCTCAGAAATTTGGCCTCCTTCCTGAAGACCAGTGGTCTCAGGTCCCACCTCCAGCTGCCCCGGGGAGGTCCTGTGGGAACTCACCCACGTAATAGGAAAGGGTACGCTTGAGCCGGTCAAAGACAAACCAGCGCTTCTTCCATGATTTGATCTTGCCGCCCATCTTGACCAAGTAGCCACGGCAGACCTGGTGGGAAGCAGAAGTGAGAAAGGACCTAGGTGAGCAGGCCCTCAACCTTCGTCCCTGCACAGCCTCCTTAAGCATGTCATCTCCTGTCTCTGATGTCATGGGAGCTGTTCCCAGCATCTCAGGCCAGCACACCAGGCCCTGGGACAAAGACCTGGTTACATTAGGGCAGGAAGTGACGCCACTACTCCAAGGCTGGTGCCTGTGACCACAAGGCCCTCTCCCTAGCAACCTGGGCTATCCAGGCCTGGTACCTTGCTGCTGAGCACCACGTGCAGGCAGGTGTCTACACCATGTCCTGACGACTCAATGTGAGTCTTCAAGTCAAAGTCCTCCTTCCGGATTGGCAGGTAGCGGGTCAGGGGCCGTGCCTAGGAGCAAAGGGCAGGGTCAGCAGAGTCCTCTCTTTTCTCATCATTCTATCCCAGCCCCTCGGCTTCAATCTAGAACCCCCTGCAACCCAACATCACCCCCTGCTGAGCCCAACTCTGTCACTCTGGTTTCACAGGGCTTGTAACAAAAGTGGAGACCTAGCGTACTGCCTCTACCTCGGTCCGGGCAAAATGCTGGATGACTCCTTGCCTCAGTTTTCCCACCTGTGACCAATATGCAGCCATCCTGATCTTGTCCCTGCCCCTGTCCCCTCCTGTGCTGAACAGAATAAAGCAAAAGCCAGATGTGAACATGCTCTGGGAAAAGAAGTCCAATAAGAAATGTGCTCTTGGGCCGGGGATTTAGCTCAGTGGTTTCGCCACCTGCTTGCAAGCGCAAGGACCCGAGTTTGATCCCCAGTACCAAAAAAAAAAAAGTGCTCTCTAGAGCTAGGACTGTAGTTTAGTGGCAGCACATATGCCTTGCATGTATAATGCCTTGGATTTCATCCCCAGCACCAAAGGAAAAAGGGAGGGAAGGAGAGATAGAGGGAGAGAGGAAGAGACGAAGGGAGAGAAGGAAACAAGAAATCTTTCTGTCCACCCATAGGACCTTGTTTGGGTCATATAACTCTCTGGGCCTCAGTTTCCTTATACATATGTAAAAGAAGGACTTTAAATTAGATAATCACATAAGAATACATAAAGTATTATTCCATGAGTAATGTCAACAAACAGCCAGCCTTGGAGAAGAGATCACACGTGAGACGTGTAAGAGTCAAACATTGTCTCCACTGTGACAAAGATGGCCATGGTAGACTTTGAACCACCTGTTGGGAGAGGTTGCAGAATTTGTAATGCCATGCATTTCCCTGGATGACAAGACATGCGTGTTAAGATTTGTGGCCTTCCAGTCCTTAATATTTTCATCTTTTTAAAATACATTTTGACTTTTAGCCTTTTCAAGAACCATAGTCTTGCCGATACTGTTTACCTCATTTTTGTATCTATTTTGCTGTGGGTAAGTGTATAACATAAATAATGTTTATACATGTTTCAAGTGTTTAATGAGTAATCAGCAAAATCAGCCAAGGAGTCCCTCTGGAGCCATATAAAGATTCTGGCTCCAAATGAACCAGAAGTGTTTGTCCACGTGGCAAATGACCTGTGTTAAATGTAAATCCTTTTTAGTGTTAACGTCTGTGCTCATAAGCAGATGTATTTTTTTTTTTAAGATTGTTTTTTTTTTTTTGGTACCAGGGATCGAACTCAGGTCCTTGCGCTTGTGAGGCAGGCAGTGGAACCACTGAGCTAAATCCCCGGCCTAAGCAGGTGTATTTTGATGAAACACATACCAATTCTGTCATCACTGTGATCTTTAAAAATCTGCATTTAGCAATCTAATGGAAGAACTAAGTTGATTTTTTAAAATTTGCCATAAACCGAGCAAAAGTAAGTGCAATAATTTCAAGAGATTTATGGCAAATTAATTTGCAGTATGGGTTAATCTTTCTAATATTTTTATTGCTCTTCAGTAAAAGAAGGCATAAGAAAGAAAATATCCCAGTGAATTTATGGCTTACTGTCAAAGCTTCATTCTTGGCTGCATGTTGAAAATGTAATTAAAGTTAATAGAAGAGATGAAATTTAAATAAATAAATAAATTAGATAATCACAAAGTCCACTTCACTTCTGATACTAACTAGAATTCTCAGTCAACCACAGTATTTTTCTACTCCTCTTTTCCTATAGAATCTTAAAATGGCAAGAAAACATCACACATTATTAAAAGAAAACACAGAACAGACAACTGCCAGGGGGAACCCTAAAGATGAGCTGACACAGCCCTGTCCCACACTAGTCTCGAGCAACCCCTGCAGCAATGCTTGAGTCCCAGGCCTAGGACAGAGGCTGGAAGAGGGAGTCCCTCGCAGTCACAACAGAAGCAGGAAAAGAGAACTGGCATTTAGCAAAGATTCCAACCACAGAGGTAAAACTCAGAGTTCTTGATTGTTTCTTAATTGCCAAACCCAGACTAGGTAACCTGTCCCTTAGAATTTATGTTGTTGCACTGCAGAAAATAAGGGAGCTCTGGGTGTTGGTTCCTGCTGTGGGGAGATGCAAAGGAAGCCGATCCAGGGAGGCCTACAAAGACCCAACCGTAGGGGACAGCTCTTCTGAGTCCTACAGGTCCTCATGGGGCCAAAGTCTGGGACCCTTGCCCAGCCCCATTTCTCTTTCTACCTGCATACATCTCCTGCATGAGGGCTGGTTTTGAGCAAAGAGGGGTCTCTGTCCGAGGAGAATCTACTGCAGTCCCCAGGAAATGTGAACCAAAAGTCAGAATGAGGTCATCCATGGATGGAGGGGACTGGAGCTGGAAGGCCCCTCGGGGTGAGGGCCAGGACACTGTGGAGTGCCATGTGGAGTGCCATGTGCTGACAGGCAGCAGAGGAAGCAGGAGGGAAGATGCAGCACAGATGCACAAAGCAGAGATGAGGCCCTGGAAAGGCCAGGGACAGCCACTTAGATTCCTGGCTCCCAGCCCCATCCATGGGAGGCCTGTCTGGACCCTCTCCTCTCAACCACCCCCAGTGCTCACAGACACTGGCGGAACAAACCCCACCAGGTCGCTGTTTCTTGGGGCTGAAGAGTCCCAGGTAGAATCTGCCTGTGCATGGCCAATAGCAATCTTTTCTGGAGAGGGGCCCAGGGAAGGCTCCACTCCTCCACAGCCCTCACCATCAAGCTCCCCACCACACCCTGCACCTCCTACTCACCTGGGAAAACTGCTTCTCCCGCATCTTGACCTCCTTCTCCACCAGCTGCTGCCTCCGGGCACTCTCGCTCTGCAGCCTCCGTTCTACCTGTTCCCGCCTCCGCCGCTCCTCCTCCAGGGCCTGCCGCCGCAGCTCCATCTCACGCTCCTGTCCCCAAAGCCAGGGGTCAGGGCCATGGCCACCATCAGCATCCCCCACTGGCCCTCCTCAGGCCCAGGCAGAGCCGCAGGAGCCACCTACCACAGACGATGGCCTGGCAGAGGAAGCATCATTCCCAAAGCCACCCTCTCCAGGAGCTCGGCTGGCTTAGGACATCTGCTTTAAAGTGTGACTGGCCTGACTTCAAACCTGGCTGTGTCACCACTGCGGGTTGTGACCCAGACAAAATCATTTCTCTAAGCCACAGCTGCCTCATCTGGAAAATGGGGTTAAATGTGCCTACTCCTGCGATTACAGTGAAAATTAAACAAGATCCTGTTTATAAATGCCCATCACTGATTCCAGCAGGAAAGCAGCAATAAATATACAGGGCTCTATAATTGTAGCTGAATTCCTAGAATGTAAAATCATTTAACCTTTTTTGCCAGCTAGTATATTCAGTAATCCTTCCACAATCACCAACTTAAGGCCCTTTGAAACGCCACATTAGTAATCTGTTGAAGAAAAATACGATTGGAGACCAAGGTTCTAGTTGAAATTATTACAAAAGGATTTTAAACTGGGCAAGGTGGTACATGCTCACAATCCCAGCACTCTGAGGTAGGAGGATCACAAATCTGAAGCCCACTTGGGCAATTTAGAGACTTAGCAAGACCCTGTGACAAAATAAACCCAGTTCAGGGAAAAAAAAGATTTAAAAAATCATTAAAGCAACTCATAAATACAGAGATGTCAGTGATCCTTTATATGCCTTATTGACAAAGACTCTATACTAGTGAAGTGATGGCAATCCTTTTAGGGCTTTCAATGGTAACAGTCCACTGCACCACTCCTGCCATAGATTTGCTACCACTGCTCTGTACCATCTGAAGTATCTTCCTAGTTCAAAGAATCAATCTTCTTTCCCTCCATTTGCCAAGAAATGCTTATAAATTTGCCCTACTTTGATGTAAATAAGATTAAGAGGCACTCTTTTCTGGTTGGTCTTCCATCTAAACGGTCAGTACTCCTGTTTTTTTTTTTCAGTACCTCCTTTTTAAAACCCTCTAGATGCTGGGTGTGGTGGCACACACCTGTAATCCCAGCACTCGGGAGGCTGAGGCAGGATCACTGTGAGTTCAGGGCCAGCCTGGGCTACATAGTGAGTTCAAGGTCAGCCTGAATTGATAGCAAAATCCTGTCTTGAAAAGACAAAAAATTTTTTAAAAAATTTTTAATTAAAGAAATAAAACCTTTTAGCTGCTAACTGCACTCCATGGGTTCCACTTTCATCTCAACAGACATGGAGTGGAAAAAAAAAGCCAGAACAGTCCTGTGGATCTGTAGCTCCATCTACTCAGGAGGCTGAGACAGGAGGATCACTTGAGCCCATGATGAGTTACAGAACAGCTTGGGCAACATAGCAAGAAGCATCTCAGAGAGAGAAAGAAAAGTGCCTCCCTCAGTCAGCTTCTGCAGGCCCTTTGCTTAACTTCCCGCCCAAGCAGAGTTTGCCTCAGCCTATCTATGCCCAATGCCAACCATTGTTCCCTCTTTGCCCAGCCCCAGCAGCATGCCCAGGTTAAGGGATCAGGACTTCCTGCAGCCACTCCCCAGCCAACACCTTTGCTCTGGCTTGGACCCCTGCTTCTTCCACTTCCATCCCATACTTTCACCCCTAGTCCCTGCTTTCCTACCTATCCCCAAGAGGAACGACCTGATATTCAGGGAGAGAGGACCAAAGTTCCCATGCTTCCCAAAATGTCTGCAGAAGGATGCAGATAGTCCAGAAGTTCCTGTTCAGGCAACTCATGTTTGGACAATGGTTCCTGAGCTGCCTTCTATTCCAGAGAGCTGAGAAGCTGGCCCAGCCTCCCATGGCCTACTTAAGGAACACAGACTTTTCTTTCTTTTTTCCTGTTTTTTGTTTATTTTTTGTACTGGGGATCGAACTCAAGACCTTGAACTTGCTAGGCAGGCACTGTGCTGCTGAGCTACATCCCCAGCCTTTTCCTGTTTTTTTGAGACAGGGTCTCGCTATGTAGTTCAGACTGCCCTTGAACTATGTACCCCAGGCCTCCCAAGTGCTGGGATTACAGGCCTGGCAACAGACTTTTTTTTTGGTACCGGAGATTGAACTCGGGACCTTGAGCTTGCAAGGCAGGGCTGAAAACACTGAGCTAAATCCCCAGCCCTAAGAATTATTATTTTTTTTTTTGGTACCGGGGATCAAACTCAGGTCCTTGCGCTTGCGAGGCAGGCAACCGAACCACTAGGCTAAATCCCCAGCCCCTGGCAACAGACTTTTAAGATGCTTTCTTAGCCAGGCATAGTGGTGTACACCTGTATCCCCACACTCGGGAGGCTGAGGCATGAGGATCACTGTGAGTTCAATACCAGCCTGAGCTACACAGTAAGTTCCAGGCCAGTCTGAACTAATAGTTACCCTGTCTCAAAAAACAACAAGAAAACACTTTTTGCTGGCCACAGTGGTACACATCTGTAATCTCAGCACTTTAGGAGGCTGAGGCAGAAGGATCACAAATCTGAGTCCCAGGGCCGGGGATTTAGCTCAGTGGTTTCGACGCCTGCTGCGCAAGTGCAAGGACCCGAGTTCGATCCCCGGTACCAAAAAAAAAAAAAAAGAAACAAATCTGAGTCCCACCCGGGTGTCTTAGTGGGACACTATCTAAAAATAAAAAACAAAATGGGCCGGGGATTTAGCTCAGTGGTTCCACTGCCTGCCTCACAAGTACAAGGTCCCAAGTTTGATCCCCGGTACCAAAAAAAAAGAACATAGGCTGAGCTTGTAGATCAGTGCAAAGACCCTGGTTTCAATCTCTAGTACTACAAAATCACAGTAAAAATAAAATGCTTTCTATTCCAATGCAAGGTCATGCCAATACAATGCAGCTGGAAGGCGCTGAGGCAGCACCAGGCCCTTGGCCGGGGGAGGGCACTCGAGCCCATGCCTTCTGCCTCCTGGCAGGTCAGCCTCACCCTGGACTCCATAAGCCGGCTCTTCTCCGCGTGAGCTTCCCTCAGCATCTTCTCCATCTCCTCAATCTTGCCCATGTCCAGACCACTGGCACTGCAGAGGGAAGGGAAGACAGGCTGTGTCAGGAGCCAGGGGTGCCTGCTAGAGGCCTTGGGCCAGGCAGGGAGGCACCTGGACATGTTGTCGGGGGAGCAGGCAGAGTTGCCCCCCGTGGAGATGCTGGTGTCCATGCTGTCTGAGCTCTCCAGGCTCAGCGTGTCGTAGGCGTGCTCGCCCTCCTCCCCTCGCTCTTGCCCAGCTGGCAGGTGGTGCAGGATGGAGTGGTGCACCAGGGCAGGGAAGGGTGCAGTCCCATGCAGGGCGTCCCACTGGCACTGCGCCTCAGCCGCCGCTTTCTGCTTCAGCTCGGCCAGCCGCCGCCGCTGCTCCTCAATCACCTGCTGTCCTATAGGAGGAACAGGTCAGAGTCACAGGGTGCTCCCACTTGTCCAGGGGAGGGGACACCAGCAGCACCACAGAGGGATGAGGCCAGCAGGGACAGCTTAACACGCTCATCTCCAGGCTGGCAGCCCCACCAAGGCTCCAGTCTCCTGCACAACTGGCCATGGCACATGGTCTGGTGCAGTGCTCTTTCTCCAGGGCACCTGGCTGCAGCTCACAGTGGAAGCCTGAACACATGAGCGGGACACATGTACCCGCCTGCCTGCTGGTGAGGGAACGGGAGGTGGCAGGAGCCCCATGAGCCCAGGGTGCCAAAGCAGACACTCCCACAATGCAGAAGCAAGAGCAATGGGAGCAGGAAAGAAGGCAGTGAGACAGGGAGCATAGTCGAGGGCAGCAGGGAGCTGAGCTGGAGGGGCAGAGCCTCGGGCACCTGGGCCCAGCTCAGCCTGGGAACCTGCGAGGGACCCGGGCAGGACACATCTTGCTGGCAACGGGGCAGGGTTGCCTGGCCAAAGCAATGCCCTTGGTGACCCACGCTCTACTTGCTGGGTTGTCGGTTGAGAGGGGCTCGGCAGGATGCAATTCGAATGGCATAGGAAGCCCCGGGCAGAGGGTATGGGAAAGAGACACAGAGGGGATAAAGAGGAGAGAGAGACACAGACATGGGCTTTCAAAGCAACCCAAACACACTTAACAACAGGACTGCTGGGTCTCCAGAGCCAATGTCTCTGGGAATTTTTTCTGGAAGTCATTAAATCCATCCTACATCTAGGCCTGCTCAGGTCAACAGACACTTCCCATATTGGCTGGCCTCTCTAGAAAAGATGTCACAGCCCCCCAGGCCCTCAGTCCCCTGTTCCAAGTCTTTTGATTTTGGGTTTTTTTGTTTTTTATTTTTTTGGGTTTTTTTGGTACTGGGGATCGAACTCAGGACCTTGCGCTTGCGAGGCAGGTAGCGGAACCACTGAGCTAAATCCCCAGCCCCCAAGTCTTTTGATAAACATCCAGGAAGCTCTTCTTTCAGTGTCCAACCAAAATACTTTCTCCTCTCACCCAGATCCCAATTAAAAGAAAAACATCCTGTGAATGGTGTGGGAGGTCCCCCAGGGCACAGGGGGGCTGGCACTACAGCCACTCACCCTTCTGCTGCAGGGCCAGCTGGCGCTTGGTCTCAATGTCCTGCAGTGTGGCTGCCAGGTTGCGAGGAAGGCTGCCCGTGCCGTTCTGGGCAAGCAGGGCACTCTGCAGAGGGAACAGAGTGCTGGTACCAGGGCTCAGACCACCCCACTCCACCCCACAGTCTGCAGGGTGGCCCTGGCCTTGCCCTAGGACGGCAGTCTCCATTCCCCCACCACTCTTTGTCCTCAGACCTTTGGGGAGGGGCTGCGACCCAGGGTAGCCACACTGAGCTGGGAGGAAGAGGAAGAGGAGCCAGATGAGGAGGGGAGTGGGCCACTACGGGTCCGAGGCAGTGGGCTTGTGGCTTCGCCATCCATCTTGGAGTGGTAAACCTGTAGGGAAGAGACCAGGTGAGCTCTGGCTTCCCCACTAGCAGCCACCTCATGTCCTCTACCCTAGCACCAGGCCTCTGAGGCCTTCGGACTCCAGGTGACAAATGGGTTGAGTCTCCTGGGTTCCCCAATGGGCACATGCTACTGCCAGCTGCTAAGTTTCCTTCCCAGGTTCTTCCTCCCTAGCCCAATCCTGATCCAACCCTGGATCTGAGAAGGGCTTGCAAACTAACCCACACCAGTAAGAAGTTAAGAGCTGCACAGGAGAACAAGGTAGGGGCCAGGTCCTTTCTGGTCAAAGCTCTGCCACTAATAGACTGTGTACCCTTGGACAATTCACTTCCCCACTCTGGGCCTCGGCTTCCTTGTGTGCAAAGGGAAGGTGCAGGACTACATTAATGCATTGTCACGCTCCCTCAAAGCACTGACATACAGTGAATATAGTCTTTGGCGTCAAGAGCCCTGACTCTCCACATAAGCTCTACCACTTTCTTCATAGCTATATGGCCCTGGCAAGTTTTCTTATCTTCTCCATGTCCCAGTGTTTGATCTGTAAAATGAGAGTTAACACCGTCTACCTCAAAGGCTGTGGCAATGATTAAATGGATCAAAACATGGCAAAGTCTCCAGCCAGCTGGGCACACAGCAAGTTACATGAATCAAACTCCTCCCAAAGGGAATGTGGAATTGTAGCTGAGGTCACAGCCTTACAGGTGCAGCACCTTCACTCAAAAATGACTCTTGGGGCTGGGGATTTAGCTCAGTGGTTCCGTTACCTGCCTCGCAAGCACAAGGACCAGAGTTCAATCCCCGGTACCAAAAAAAAAAAATGACTCTTGAATGGTTGAATTTTAGGCACCACAGTAAGTCAGTGGAGTAAAACCAGAGACTATCCAAGTTCCCTTCCTCTGCCACAGTCAGTAGCTGGGCCCACGCCCTCCTCCACAACTACTCTCAGGAGATGGGTATGTCTGCAGGGCTGTCACTTCAGAATTTCTGTCCTCCTTTCTGCCTCCAAATATCACCCTTGGGAAGACCAGGAGAATGAAATATAGGTGTTTCTCCTAGGACATACTAATTCCAGTTGTGAGAGACCCAAGAGTGTGTCCAGCCCTCACTGAGGTGAGCTCTGGGGAGAACCCCTTCCACCACCACCCTCGGACACAAGAGAATGGCCCTCCAGCTGCCCCAGGAGCCAGATGACTACCCATGGAGAGATCCTCAGTGCCCCTTTCAGGCCCAGAAGCCCCTTCTTCCTGTGCTGAGCTGATTATGCATAGTGTACAGTGTGGCTGAGGGGATGGCAGGATGTACTCTGAGCAGACAGAAGCAAGACCTGGGAAGAACTGGCAGGGATGAGGTTACCTGCAGCTGACGGGAAGCTTTGGCAGGCAGAGGTGGAGGGGAAGAGCGAGGGGAGGCTGCAGCAGGGCTAGTCACCAGCCCGGCCATCAGCTCCTGGTACCACTGCTCTAAGTCTACAGCAGGGAGCAGCAGTTTCTCCATCTGCAGGGGCAGGGAGAAGGCAAGGATGGAGAGGAAGGGCCAGGACAGGAAGGGAAAAGGGATGGGAGGAAGAACAAGAAGGAAGAGGGGTCGAGGAAAGGGAAAGGAAGACCATGTCGGGAAAATGGACAGGAAGGTAAGGGGAAGAAGGGAAGGAAAAGAGGGAGGAAGGAGAGCAATAAAGAGAAGGAAGAGAAAAACAGTGAGATGACAGTTGTCTTGAATGTGATAAAGGCAAAGAGAAACAGTCAGGGTGCAACTCCCAGAGCACAGACGCATACTATGCCAGCCAGCCAGAGCCTGCAGGCACCCAGCATGCCCCTCAGGCTGGCCTGAGCTGAGATGCTGGTGAGCCCGGGCAAAACAAACACAGACAGCCACACCTGCCATAGGGTGGGGGTGTCAGGAACACACAGACCACCAACCTTGGGTGAAGGCGTGATGGAAGCGAAGGAGGAGAAGGAGGGCAGCACAGGAGGAAGGCAGGTAGTGGGAACCAGGTCCCGGGAAGCAGAGGCCCAGGGAGGCCAGCCTGGCGTGGGGGTGGGGGGCATGGGTGAGGTGCCCCACATCACCTTTAGCTGCTCAAGCGTCACGTACTTGGGGGAAGGCCAGGCGTAGGAGGGAATACAAGAGGTTAATGGGATTGCAACCCAAGACATGGCCCTGCCCACAAGGGAGGAAAAGAGTAGGAAGCAGAGAGCAGAGGCCAGCCTGGAGAACCAGAGTCCTCTAGACAAGATGCTCTTCTCCTAGAGCAGAAAGGCTGCCCCTCCCCGAGCCATCGTGAGCTGATGACAGCTCCTGAGGCCTTGGGAAGAAAGGGAAACACTCTCAATGCCCCTGGCCAGCTGCCCTTCTCTCTCACTGCTGAAGACTGACCCTGCTGTTGCCCCACCCCTACCCAGGCCCGAGGCGCAATGGAGGGCATCCATACTCAGCAGCTGGTACCTCACTGTCAGGCAGGGACTGGGTGAGCACGCTGGGGGAGGTGGCAGAAGCATAGGGGTCCAATCGAGAGCACAGCTGGAGAACCTGTGCCAGGCTCACATACTCCTAGGGATCCCAGGGTAGGGGGAGCAGAGAAGAGATTAACGAGGTTCAATCTGGTACCTAACACCCCACACTCCATGCCAGGCACATATGTCAGCACACAATCCCGAGCAGCGGCAGGTGCTCAGCTGCCTCCTAGCCAGTCAGCTGTGGGAGCAGGGGAACTGAAAAGGCTGGACAGAACTGACTGTAGAAGGCTCCTCCTGAGACCACTTTGGTATTTTATTGCTGCCCCGAGCAGATCCTAGAGATCCATCACTGGACTGGCCCTGGGCTGGAGACAGGTAAAAAAGCCCATGAAGGACTTCCAAGAGCCCACTGAGGCACAGAACCCAGACCCTAGCAAGTCCAACTGTCTCCAGCGTCTGGGTATCCCCAGGCCACACACATGCAGAATGGATCATCAGTTACACCATTCCCCAGGGTCCTCTCCCACCCCACTCACAAGAGCAGGAGCTGGAAACAGGTGGGGAAAGGTGGGGACACACCCAGGGCCTGTGCAAGATAAGTGCTGAGGAAGAGGCTTAGCAGAGAACAGCTAAAACCCCTAGAAGGAAAATGGGCCCACTGGCCAGGGTAAGCACTTAGAAAGATGCCAGCACATTGGATTGTGGTTGGGAAGACAGGTGTATCAAACCCATCATATATCCTTAGAATCTGAACTTATCTAAGCGCCGGGCATGGCAGGCATCCACAGTGTGTGCTAAATCCCACCAGTGGACCCTAAGCCTGCCTTATCCAGGGTACATGTCCAGGCCTAGCTCCGGGGCCAGCCTGGCCTCTGAGGGTCATGGGAAATGAAAATGAGCCAGAAGGTCCAGTGTGTTGTGCAAACTGGTGAATGACATGCAGAATACATGCAAATCAATCCTCTGATTTGGCATGGGCTGCCCAGGCACTCTATGGATGGCAAAATGGCACACTCACACAAACACCACCAAACTCCGCCCAGCAAACAGTTATTGCCACATGCCCTTCTTCAGCTGGGCCCTGGGAAGCTGCAGGCAGGAGCTCAGTGGGCAGGCTGATAGGCACCCAGCAAAGCAGGGCACACAGTGAGCTGTGATTACCTCTTGTACTTTGGGGCAGAGCAGAGTGGAAGCAGGTGGGGTTAAGGAGACAGAGGAGTCCCCAGCCTGAGAAGACCCTGAGAATGGACCCAGAGCCTTGGTCCCCAGCCCCATCTCTGAGGAATTGGAGATGAGCAGCTGAGCCTACAGAGAGGGTCATGGTGAAGGGGCTCACCTCACACACCTCAGCCACCCGCCCCAGGCCGAATCACTTGTGCAGTGACACAGGGAGGGAGGAAAGAGGTCAGAAAACCAAGTATGTCCTAATCAGGCCTCACACATCAGATGTGCAGACTTGGAAAAGAACTACTTAGGGGCCTCAATGCCCACTTCTAAGCTAAGAGCCTGGCTTCAGGTGGAAGCCCAGAGACCCCCAAGATCAGGATCCCTAAGAACTTTGCCCCTCAAGGTGAGTCCACTCAGCCCTGTCCCCTACCAAACCTCTGAGCTGTCTGCCTACCCCAACCAGGGCCCTTGAGCCCCTTGCATATATCCAGTCACCCCAAATGGTAAGATCAATGGGCTCCTGAGCGCCCAGAAAGCAACAGAGAAGCACCTGGTACCCAGGGAGGTTTAAATCTCAGACCCCAGGGCCATTCCTCCTCATATCTCTCCAGTTTAGGATGATCCCTCCACCCTCGACCTCAGCCACTGGGGTGAAGGTGGCACAGGTTGCTCCCTTGGGCCTGAAGCTGGGGCTGACCCAACTTTTACCTCTTTGAGGGTCGAATTGGTCTTTGGGAAAGGCCTGCCCCCTGTGAGTGTGTGGTATCTCCTTTCCAGCGCAGTCAGCTTCTCCTTCTCCTGAAAGCCCGGAGTGGTCAAGTTAGAGAGAAGTGGGACAAGGGTTAGGGAAGAGCCCCTGTGATGTATCCCTCACACTGGGAAATCCCCACCCCGGCCCTTCTCCATGCCCTTCACCTACCCCACCCAGTCCCTGTCCAAACCCGAGATGGGTACCTTCTGCAGCAGCTGCAGGGAGGCATTCTTGTCCCTGGCCAGGCGCTCTGACTCCTGCACAGCCTGGGCCCGGATCTGCCCAGCCTGACTGTCCAGGATGGCCAGGCGCTCCTGAGGAGATGGGAGGGGTGGTGTTCGGTGAGGCCCAGGGGATATGGGGCTGAGCCCCAGGTGAGACCTGGCTGACTCTCCTGCCCAGAGTCCCCAGGCTCAGGTGAAAGGACTCAACCAGCTCTTCTGCTTGGCCTCAACTCACCCCAGGAAAACTCAGAGTACCCTAGTCAGCTCCTTCTCTTGCTTTTCCTTCACTCCCTCAACCAGTGACCTCTGGGCCACCAGGCAAACTAGCCAAAACCCCTGTCACCCACTACTGCATCCAAGCCCTCTGCTTTCCCAGCTGCGCTTCTCACCAGCCTGCTGCTGCTGCTCTCCCAGCTTTCTGATCCACTCCACATTGCTACAAAATATCTCCTTAAAATGGTTTTTGAGCTGTGTTTGCTTATCTGAATTGTCCAGTCTTTCTAAATATAATATACACTACTTGAGCAACTTTGTGGGTTTTTTTGGGGGTGGGGTTTTTATTGGTACCAGGGATTGAACTCAGGACTTTGCGCTTTTGAGGCATGGGCTGGCACCATTGAGCTAAATCCCTGGCCCAGTAACTTTGTTTTTGAGACAGGGTTTCCCTATGTTGCCTGAGCTAAACTTGAACTCCTGAGTTCAAGCAATCCTTCCGCTTCAGCCCCCAGAGAACCCAGGGCTACAGGTGTACACGAGCATAACTGGCTTTTTTTTTCTTTTCTACGTGTGTGCGTGTGTGTGTGTGTGTGTGTGTGTTTTCGTTATTGGAAATTAAACCCAGGGCCTTCATAATAACCTACATCTCTAGCATTTTTATTCATTTTTGGTATTCTGTTTTTGAGACAGGGTCTTACTATGTAGCCCAGGCTGGCCTCAAACTCTCAGTGATCCTCTTGCCTCAGCTTCCTGAGCGCTGGAATTACAGGAATGCATGGCTCCTCATTACACACAGGATGAAGCACAAACTCCCTAACCAGCACCCAAGGGCTTCAGGAACAGGTTCTACCCTTTGCCTGCTCAGCCCTCTATGTTCCCTGGGTTCAGCCACAATGTAACTCGGCTGTGCAGCTGTGTGCTTTCAAGCCTCCCTTCTATCTCTCCCTCAGCCAGGGGTGCTGTCCCAGGCCTCTGCACCTGTGCTGAGCCTGTCAGCCTCCAAGACTAGACCGAATGCTACCTCCTTCCCAAAGCCATCTTTGATTGTGCCTCAATTTCTCTGTTCCTTCCTCTGTGTTCATATTATTCTATATCGCCATGTCCCTTGCCTTATTGTTATTTGTCAATATATCTGTCTCTACCACCCACTGCCACCTCATCCTAAATATAAGATCTGAGGGCAGGACAACAGGATTTAGCATAGTGCCTGGCTCAACAATCATTTGCCAAAAGAAAACAGAAAGATACTAAGTGAGAGAGGATAAGCGCTAGGGAATATGGGCAGGGTTAGTTCCAGGAAGGCTTACGGAAAGAGGCGGTCTAAACCACCCCTCTGAGGAACAAGATTCCTCAGAGAGGAATGCATAATGCATTCTCCCTGTGGCTGAGGCTTGAGCTCCTGCATCAGTGTGCATGCGTGTGCCATTTGCCTGTCTGGAGTGTGTGCAAGGTGAGGACAGTGAGATCGAGGGAGCTGTGTCCCAAAGTGGTGGGAGAAGAAAGCATGAAGAAAGAAGCTGTGCTAAACCTGGAGTCAGCCCAAGAAAAGCAGCAGGTTAGGCAGTAACTCTCACAACAAGAGCCACCATGTCCACAGACCCCAGGAGGAGCCAGGAACTCTGCTGGATGTTTTGCATTTGTTACTTCATTTAATCTTATGAGGCTGGTGCCTTTAGTGCCCATTTCATAGGTGAGAACACTGAACTTAGCTCCTATATTTAGGAGCTAAGGTCTCAGCTAGCAAGTAGCAGAGCTAGGACTAGAACCAGATCTGTTGGATTCCAGGGATAGTACTCCCCCAATCACTTTGAACCAGAGTAGACAGAGGGTCACGGGGTTCTAGGGCAGGCAGAGCCTGGGTGCAGGGTGAGGCTGGGCACAGGGAAGAACATGAGGGAGAATATGACACCCCCACACATCCAGGTCTCAGAGCTGAACTTGTTTGCCAGAGGCTAGAGTGGGCATGGAGAGGAAAGAAGTGGAGTCCATACTACTGACCCCTCCCAAACTTCCTGGAACTTATGGCCTCTAGGACCTCAAAGAGATAGGAATAGGTGATCTAAAGGCTCCTTGATGAATATCCTCAGAAGGAAAGCAGAAGAGGCCAGAGAAATGCCAGCCTCTATACCTCACACAGCACAGTGGAAGGACCATTATGAGCCAAGGCAGGCCTGGGTTCCAACTCTGACTCTAAGCTGGTAGCCTGGGAGGCTTTGGATAAATGTGTGGCTTCTCTGAGCCCTAGTTTTTCTCCCTATAAGATGGGGATAAGAGTGCCTGCCTTGTGAAACCACCCTAAGGACATGAGATGACCCAAGCAGTCCCCTGGTAGGGAGCCTAGCACACACACACACACACACACACGTGCTCAGCAATTTGAAAAATGTATGCATTTGTAAGGCACAGTAACTCAGAGAGAGAAGCAAAGGGCCTGGACTTGGGAGGTCCAGTAGCTCCCCACTTACCACCAAACACAGGCTGGCCAGCAAGCCCCATGACTCACCGCTTTGGGATACTGCTCCCCTATCTCACTGTCCTCAACTTGCACATACTCCAGACAGGCAAACTGCACACTCACACACATGGATGCAGGAGCTCAAGCCTCAGCCACAGGTACGAGAGTCTCCTGGGCCCTCCTTCCCTGCCTCCTCCAGACATATGCACATCTAGCCCATCATCCAGCCATGCCTGGTCTGGCTGAGATCAGAAACAATCACAGCATTAGCGCACCAAAGCCTGTCAGGATACCATACTCAGTCCTCTTGTTTATAGCTCTCAGCCGTGCCAGGGCTGAACCAAGGCTGGAACCCAGGTGGGTCCCTTCCTTGGACCCCTGGCCAGCTCTAGTGTTCAGACGCTAGGTCTCTCTAGCCCCAGCTCTTCAATCAGACAGAACTCTGTAAGGACAGGGGCACAACTGGGGGTGTAGCTCAATGGTAGAGCACCTGCTTAGCAAGTAGGAGGCCCTGGGTTCAATCCCCAACATACACACACACACACACACACACACACACACACACACATACACACACCAGCTGAGGTAAGCCTCCCCCTCCATTTTTCACTTCCTGCCCAGACAGCGCCCATTTCTGAAAGTAAGCCAACTGGACTTTCCACTGGAAAATGGAGGGGACCACAGGCACTAATACTAGCTACCCCTTATGGTTAGGGTTAGGGTTTAGTGTGAGGGCCAGGACACTATTCTCAATTGGGGGTCCAAGAAAGGGCATCCACCTGGGTTCCAGCCTTGGTTCAGCCCTGGCATGGCAGAGCTATAAATAAGAGGACTGAGTATGTTGTCCTGGACGCCACCCTTTTCTGAGTGCTTTCTGTCATCATGCATTCCATCCTGCCTTACATGCTAATTCTCACAATGGCCTGCTGTAGTTCTGATTTTACAGACCAGGAAACAGAGGCACAAAAGGTGAAGTTAACTTTCTTGAAGTCAGCCCTGCTCTTGAGCCCAGGGACAGGAGTGGCCGCCCACCTTCCTCTTGGCGATGCTGAGCAGCAGCTCCGCCTTGTTCCGCAGCAGCCCCTGGCCCGCCAGCTCTCGCTCCTCCTCCGCGCGGCTCTCCCGCTCCAGCTGCTGGAATTCCAAGTCCTCGAAGAGCTTTGTCTCAGTCTCTAGGGCCTCTGCCTCCTTCAACGACAGTGATATTGAAGGGTTGGGTGGTGCTCACCCTGCCACTCTGGGGCCGGAAGGCCAGGCCACAGAGATTGGAGTGGTGGGGGCTCGACCCGACCCGGGGAATCTGGGCAGGGAACCTGTCCCCTCCCGACTCCCTCTGCTGTGCTCCACTGGGCCCCTTTCGCGGGCATCACAGCCTGTAGCGCTGGTCCCCCCAACCTCGCCTGTCCCCTCCAAGCCACAGCACCGACCCTGGTGTCCAGCAGCACTGCAGGGGCCGGGCGGTCCCGTCCCACCGCTCTCCTCTCCTCAGTCGGGGTGGGTGGCCCGCGGGGGCCGGGGAAGGGGCTGGAACTGACCCTTCTCAGCTGCTCCTGTAACTGTTCCCGCACTGACTCGGGGCAGTTATCGAGCTGCGTCTGGAGCTCGGCGTACAGTGCCTGGCGGGCCTCCAGGTGCCTCCGTCCCGCGGCCAGCTCCGCCCTCTCCTGGTCGGCGGGAGGGGAGGGAGGCGGGGCACAGGGGAGAGAGAACACACACTCCTCAACTCCGGCCCGCGGCGGAGGGCGCGGCGTGGGGACTCGGGACAGGCCAGGCGTCTGAGGAGCAGGCCAGGGGTAGGAAGAAGACAGCGGAGAAGGAAAGGCAGACAGGGAGAGAGGCTAGGAGCGGAGGTGTAATGCAGGCGCAGGAACCTGTTACATAGGCAGGGGTAGGGGACAGGGAGAGGGAATTGTGGTCTCTTGTGTCCCTAGAACTAGAAATGTTTGGGAAGGTCCTAATACAAGGCCTTCTGTTTCCTCTCCAAATTCGTAGAGGCCAAAGCTGGTGCCACATGGCAAAAGTGGAGCCTCACATTCGACCACTGCCCAGAGACCAAAATTAACCCTGGGGAGACAGGACATGATGGTAAGGTGTTAAGTCCAGAGGTTGGGTGTGAATGTTAGAGCTACAGCTGTGCAACAGCGGAGGAGGGGGACCCCAGTCCGACTCCCAGCCTCCCTCCCCTCCTGCCCAGGTTGGGGGTAGGGTGCTGGCACTGCAGGCTGAACTTGAGTAGGGATGAGGGCTGCAATTAGTTGGCCGTTGCCATGGTAATAGGAGCCCCAGGAGTGGGTACAGAGAAGGGGTGGGTGGCTCTGTCTGGGGCAAGATGACACCTCTGAGGGTGGGAAAGGGGAAGAGGGGAGGAATTGGTGAGTCACCCCTCCCAAGGACAGGCAGAGGAGAAACAGTTATTACTGATTCCAAAGCCAGAGTGGGGCCATGGGCTGGGGGCTGGGACAGGAAGCCCAATGAACTGTCATCATCACTACCATCATTTGTCACCACTGCTGCCACCACTACAACCTCAAACAACTAGGCCCAGAGGAAAGACAAAGGCCAGGCTTCCAAGCATCCTCAGGTCAGTGAGAAGTGAGGAAGGCAGGCTCCTTGTGAGCATGCTGGGAGCAACCCCCTGTGCTGTACCTGACCCACTCACCCACCCATGCCCCTCCACCCACCTACCCATCCCAGGAGGGAAGGCCCTGATCAAGCCAGTTGCTGAGGTCCAGGCAGTTCCTCATTCTTGTTCTCAGCGGCCTCCAGAGTGGACAGAAGGATGGGAAGCCACCATTCTCCCCTCCGCTTGGGGTAACTGAATCGGGAAAGCTAGGATGGGTAGCCACTGAGTTGGCAGAAAGGCCCTGTCCAAGACCTCCAAGGCCATGCCAGAAAGTGGACCTCATTCGGCAGCTACAGAAGGTAGGCAGGGGAGGGGGGTACAACATAACCTGCCTGCCCTGGCCTGTAGGAAGCTGCCAACTATGCTGTAGGCAATAGCCCAGGCCCTTCCAGGGAGAAGAGCTGTTCAGGCTGAGCAGCTCTTCTGCCAAGCATTTCCTTCATCCTTATACCCCTCCTGCCAGTCAGTGGCCCATTAAACAAAGTTTAGCTGTGCCCTCCTGCCAGTTCCTTTTCTGATCAAAACCATGGGGTCCCACCCCAAGAAAAGAAGGAGGCAACATTAGAGGGGAAAGGCCAGGGGCACAAAGGCACTGTGGAGTTAGTGCAAAAGCAGGCATGGCTCAACCCTGCCTGGGTGGCCTGGCAGTTAGGGCATGCAGAGCGCCCAGGACAGTGATTAGAGGGGGCATTAGTGCAGGCTTGGTTGACAAGCATGGAGTTAATTTGACACAGAATTTGGGAGTGTGGTTCTGGGGGCCAGAGCCAAAGCTCCAAAAGAAAAAAAAAACAAAACAGGGTCAAAAAAGTTTTAAGGTCATCAAAATTGAGGGCAAGAGGTAGACAGTTTCAAAAATCCAAGAGGAAAATTAAATTCTTAGGAAAATTCTGTCAAATCCAGAATAGACGACCCCTCTCCACTTCAGAGCTTTTGGCACGCAGTTGGGCATCTTGGACATGGCTGGCATGGCCCCTTGGAACGGAGCAGCCCCTGCAGGCTGGCGCAAAATCTGAAAGGGGCAGGGGCAGGAGCTGGGACCACCTGAGATGGGAGGCTGCAGATCCTGAAGGCAGGGGAAGCAGAGGCCTGCAGGCCATCTCCCAAAGACCACATCCTAAGCACCTGAGGCATGCTTGAGGGAGATGTTCTTCAGATGGCAGGACCCAAACCTGAATCACCCCAGGCCCTGAGACCTCAGGCAGTGCTCACTGCCTGAGAAGGGGCTTTGGCACTTCCTGGAAGGACCATAAAGGACCAGAATGGCAAACACCCAGTCATCCAGAGGTAGCAGAGACCAAGAGAAGACCTCAAACACCAGCCCAGCCCCTAGCAGCACCTTCCAAACTGGTACCTTCCACACAGGACAAGGCCCCCCTGTTCCTGGAGGGCCAGAGACTACCTGGTACACAGGACGCATGATGAGGTGAAGGGTCCAGGGCTCCAGGGAGGGCATTTCTCCTTCTCTCCTGGGCCAGTGGTACCCAGCACTGGGCTGGGCCACGTGTGGGTTACCTTGTCTCTCTCCTTCTGAATGCCTGTTTCCAAGGCCACCAGCTTCTCCTGCAGCTGGTCCACTGCCTTCTGCTCCTTCTGCAGCAGCGCCCACTCTGCTTCCCTCTCCCCTTGCAGCAGTGCCCGCTCCATTTCAGCCTGAGGGCAGACACCAAGGTCCCCATCAAGACAGTGAACTCAGGTCCCTATTTGGGGATAGCACCCTGGAAGCCTGCTTACCTCTCTGGCCGCCTCCTGCAGCTGCTGCTCCAGCTCCTTCACATGGACCTTGAGCTGCTCCACACGGCCCAGCACCTGAGCCCGCTCCTCTTCCAGGACTAGGATCTCTCCCTGGAGTTTGGTGCTAGGTGCATCTTCATGCTGGAGGGGAAAAGAGCCATCAGTGGGGGATGCCTAGAGCCCCCACAATCAGACTAAGAGATCAAATTGCCCATTCCTCAAGGCACTTGGAAGGGTAGCTGGACTGAGACAGGAGGCTAATCCCCTCCTTGCCAGGGAAGCAATACAGGATCAGCCACAGGGAATAAAAATTTACTAGCATGCTAGGCCTAGGTGGAGCCCCAAGGAAAGGCAGGTCATAAAGCATATTTATAGCCCAGGAAAGTCCTTGCCACCTCCATTTTCTTCCTTGCCACCTCATTTCTGCACCTCTAGTTTCTGGTGTCTTCCTAAGCTCTATCCTTCCATTACTTCCCTCTCACAGTACCCTGGCATTCACACCAGTCTCAGTGCCCCAAGGTTTGTCCAGCCAGCCCCAGCCCCACCCCTCACCCTGCCGCCAGTACACCCACCTCCTGCTGGGTGCTCTCTGTACTACTGCACTCCTCCTTCAGATTTTCCTCATCTGAGCGCTCCACACTCTCCCATAGGCGTTGGGTGGCACCTCCAGGCTCCTCGCTGCCCCGCCCAGAGGACACAGCGGCCCCTGCAAGGCCTCGTGAGGGCCTCTTGCCTGCCAGCACCAATGCGGCAGTGGCCTCCCCAATACTGGGCAGCTCCCCGGCCTCAGGTCCCCCATCAGCCCGGCTATACTCAGCACACAGATTCAGGATGGTCTCCAGGCGCTGGCGTTCCTGGGGAGGATAGACAGAGTGGGTATGAGTGGGAGAAGGGCCAGCCCTGGGGCAGCTAGAGCCACGCTGTTTCCTGTTGGAAGGGCGAGCTAGGACACTAGAGGCTTGGGGTTTGCAACCAAGTCAAGAGAACCCCAACCCCAAGATCTATGGAAGGCAGAGTGCTCTCAAAGAAGGGTGCTCCAGAAGTGGTGGAGGAACTAGGCTGTGTGCCATCTGTCCAGGTGGCCGGTCCCTCCCACCTTCCTGTTTCCTTTCCCTTCTCATTCTGTCCCAGGATGGGGTTTCCTTGTCGTCACACAAGGACACATCCAAACACACATGGAACACACACAGGTAGGCAGACTTAATGATGAGCCAAAGATCAACTCAGGGGCTCGTGCTGACTACAGGCACAAGGGCACACTGGTCTGACACACAGGTACATGTGGACACAACATGTGCACTGGCCGTGCAGCAACAGGCAGGCACACATACAGACACCAGCCCTGACATGCACAAATGCACACACAGATAAACACAGTCTACATACTGACAGGTGGGCACCCACAGTGTCAGACAGGGCTGGGAGGCAGACCCATGAACCCACAGGGTCCAGACCCACATGGACAAGAAGCAGCCATGGGTCACAGTACTCCTTGTCCTACCTCAGCTCCAAGTCTCCTGCAGTCAGCCCTTGGCTCCTTACCAGCAGAGAGGGCTGCTGCTAGTCTCTGAAGGCCCAGGTCCAGGAGTAAGTGCTCTAGGACCCTGGCACTGAATCCAGCCTCCCTACACACACCCCTCCCAGAAACAGTCACCTCTCAGGGGCCTACGAGTGAAGGACCAATGGCCCAATCCTGTTCCTGGTCTCGGTGCCACTCTCACATTCATAATACCCCAGTCCTGAGTCCCGGACTCCGAACCTTCATGACCTCCTGGGGGTCCCTCAACCTCCTTAAACGCCCCAGTCTCAACACTTACCCAGCTTCCCTTCGGCTGCTCACCCAGTTCCATAACAAAAAGTCCAGGAACCAAGCCTCAGCACCTAGGAGGCTGGGCCAGTGCCCCGCCCTCACCCTAGGACCCAGATAAGCAGCCTGGTTCAGGTGGGAGGGGCAAAGTGGGCAGCCGCCAAGACTTAAAGTGGCAGGTGGGGCAGGTCAGGGCTGGTGGTGGGTGTGTATTTGTGTGTGGGAATGGGGGCAGGGAACCTGAATGAAGGAGCTGGAGACTGCTGGGCCTGGCACACTGCTTATGCCAGGCTCACTGCCCCATTCAGGATGAGACTCCAGGGCAGCCAAGATTTCAGGGGAGGCCAAGTCACAGGGAAGGGAAGGACTGGGGACCTGCCTCCTACCCAGCACATGGTCCCACACCCTCACCGGAACTGGCCAGCCTCTCCCCAAAGGTCTCCAGGCAAGCCTCCCCCATTCTGGTCCTCCTCAAACCAATCCCAGGTTGCTGGGCCCCCAGAACCCTGTGCTTCTGCTCTCACAGGAGGACAGAATCCTTCCTGTATGGGACTCAAACATGGGTACACCATCCAGAGCGCTGTGAGATCCCCACACTATCTGGGGAATCCCAGACCCCACCTAGCACAGATGGCATCTCCAGGACAGCTGCCCTGAGCCACACCCAGCCCCTGCACACACCCACACGCATGCATGCAGATGCATATGGTCACAATCACACAGGCCACACAGGCTGCTCACTCTGTTCCTTCCCTCTTCCTTGCCACCCACACACCCAGATGATCCCGCCTGGACCAGGGGGGACAGTTCCCACTCATTTGTAGAAGCCAAAGAGAAGGAAGAATCAAGGACCAGGAGCTTTTCTAAAGAACAAGCCTTAGACAGAAACAGAAAGACCGGAGTCTTGGGTTCCAATTCCAGCTCTGTCACAATTTGTTGTGTGACTTAGACAAATCCAGTTCCATTCCTGGGCCTCAGCCTTTTCATCCTTTCAACCTGCTCCTCAAATTGAATGTGCAATGTTTTCCTAGAACTTCACTATGCTTAGATAAATAATGTGAAACTTATCTGTACATATCAAATGCTATGTTGTAGAATACATGCAAAATGAGCAAGACTTTAAAATAAAGCCTGAGAGAGTGAGAGTCCTCTGGGGGACCAGGACCATGCGATACTGGTCACCAGGTATACCCTGAAAGTGGAAATGCTTGAGGGGCCCAGGCTCTGTCCAATGGCTCCTCCTGCTCCGCCAGCTGGCCTACCCATGTCCTGGCACAGACCCTGCCTTGGACAGAGGCATCCTCCCTGGCATCTACTCACCAGCCTCTCCATCTCCTGCTCCCGCAGCCTCTCTTGGCGCTGCCGCCGGTGGTACTCCAGGAGGTCATCCTCATTGTCACTGATCTCTGTGATGCTATTTTTCCGGTCCCGAATGACAGGAACCCGCAGATCCCCACTAGAGAGCTTCCTCTGGGCCCGGGGGCTCTGGCGAGGCGAAGCCCCAGTAAGAGAGCCCAGACTATAGGCTGGGCTCAGCCTGCCACTGAAGCTGCCCTTGCGGGGTGCCAGGGACTCCCCCAGTGTGGGTGAGGGACTCCGTGTCCTGCGGCCCCGAGCCCCGAGTGTCAGGGAAAAGTCCTCTGGTGAGGTTCCATGGGCAGCCCAGCGGCGGGGCCTTGGGCTCTCTGCCACTTCCCTGGTTAGCTTGGGATCTGGGGTGGTCCGGGCAGGCAGTGGGGAGAGAGTGCGTCGGGACAGAGATGGGCTCAAGGGAGGAAGTTCTCGCATACTGTCCAGGCCCCGCCGGCCCAGGCGGGGGCTCTCAGGAGGCTGTAGGGTTCGAGTGGAAGATCCATCTGAAAATGTTCGCCCTACCAGTTGGCGTGAGGGGCTGGTTGTCAATACCCGCTCAGTGCCTGGAGGCTCACAGAAAGGGCTGGGAGGACGATCCTGGAGTGTGCCAATCTTGTTTCGGGGAGCAGGGACTGGAGGCTGGAACTTGGGACTGCCAGGAATGCTGGTGGGTTGGCTGCGGGCACCAGAAGCTGAGTATTCACTCAGGCTAATAGCCACCACAGGCAGCTGTCCACCCAGCCGGGGGCTCTCAGTGGCCCTACGGGCCTCTGCCAAGACAGTGGCTGCAGGGCTGTCAGTCAGCAAACCCCGTAGACCAGGGCTGGTAGGCCTCTCATGACCCCCTTTCCTACCCAGCCGGGGGCTGTCTGAGGAGCGGGCACCACTTGGACGGGGCTGTGGGGGCTGCAGGGCTAGATGGTAGCTGGAGGAACGAGCAGGCACGAGCGGAGGCACAGAAGGTCCTGGCTCCTGCCCACTGGGTGAATGGCTGGCACAGCTTCCACTGCTGGCTGGTGAGGAGAGTGGAGAGAAGGCTGGAGAGGTGTTCTCATAGCTGGAACCCACAGACATAGCGCCAGGGCTGGTTGCGGGGGAGAGCAGGTATCGCCCACCGTTAGCCATCGGCGATAACGGGGAGGTTGCTGCAGGCTTCTTGCCAGCAGCTACAGACTCCTCTAGCACCAGTGAATCCATGATTTCTTGCAAGTCCTTCTCAATTGAGCTCACCAGGGAGCTGTGGCTGGCACAGGCTGAGGGTTCCCGGGTTGCAGGCTGTGGGGCGTGATTTCCATTCACCAGACTTTCTGATTCACCTGAGGGGAAAGCAAAGAAGCTTCGCCATGTATGCACAAGAATGAGGGCATTCCACCTTCTTCTAGCACAGTGGGGCTGCAAAGGCTCTGGAGAAGCTAGGACATCTCTGTCACTGACCTGCTCTGCAACTTTGGTCAAGTCCCTTGCCCTCAGTTTCCTCTTATAAAAGACGATGTGCAGGGCTCTCCTGCCTCTAACATTTAATGACTTAGGACAGATTTACCAACAATGTCAGAACTTCCAAGCCCAGTTGTTGCCAACTCACCTCAAGCCCAGACTCCTCCCCGCCTTGGTTTCCCCAACTTCCTATACCTCTCTTTCAGGAAGGACAGGTGGGCATTCTGCAAATGAGATAGGAACCTACTGTGGAGCTGGACAGAAGCTCCAGGGCCTCCTATTCTAATAGGACTTCAGAGCCTCCCAACTCACCAGCCAGAGGCCCAAGGAAAAAAACAAAGCCTGAGGGCTGGGCCAGGGGTGTGTGTGGCACTGTTCTGTCCAATCAGAGGCAGGGGAGGGACCCAGGGCTAATGGCTGGTTCCTGGAAGCAGAGCTGGCCCGCTACTAGGTGCAGCTCAGTGCCTCCAATTATCCCATTAAGCCAGGCCAGCGAGAGCCTGCCTTTGCTGGGCCCCAGCCCTTGTCAACCAACCAGGAGTTTGGAATCCCTGGAACCACTATCCTGGAACAGCCAAGGAAGGGCATGACAATGCTGGGGCGGGGACAGGGTAAAATTAACTAGGGAGTGGACTGAGAACTCAGGCTTCCAAGCCTCTGAGCCTCCAGGGGACTGCAAGATACTAAGGTTGGAGGACAGAAGAGCCTTTGCAAGACTGATTTGGTCCAAAGTAATGAGGACTATCTGGGCACAGAGGGACTGCCATGAGTACTAGTGATTCCAGGACCATTCACTCTTCTTCAGGGCCCCAGAGAGTACATTTAGGCCACTGAAAACCACCCACCAGGTATACCTGACATGCATCCACCTGCCCTAGCACCACACTGGCACCTTGCGCCCCACAGCCATCTGAATGCCAGGGCCCAGTCTAGGCTGGCAGCCTCCTGAACTACACCCCACACCCTAGGCAGCTGGCGGGGGTGGGGGGGAGCTGTACTGGTTCCTAGAACAATCACCAATTCTCCTCGAGGGATCAATAATTCACACACAAGCTGCAGCTGCTCCTCTGAGTCATCAACAGGCATAACATGGTCTGAGGGCCAGGGACGGCCCAAGGACATGATCACCAGCAGGTGGTATCCATCAGAGTTTACTGGAGTTCAACCGAAGGTTCAGGTCACCCTCCAGGATGGCACTGAATGACATCTTCCAGAGCAGTAGGGTTCAGGCTGGAGGAACCTTCTATCCCTCGAGGCACATGATTCCCTAATTTCAGCCAAGCAGCACTGCCTTGTGTCTCAGTGGCCCCATGGCCTGGTATTCGCCACCAGCCCATGGCAGGTGACAGTGGGCCCAGACCATGGATACTGTCCTGCCCTAACACTCCAAGAGTGCCCACAGTGGGCAAGGGGAACTATCCAGTGGGCTCTGCCTACCCACCCCATGCCTCAGCTGGGTACCTACCAGAGCCAGGGCCATAGGGGGGCCCAGCGGCCCGGCCCCCCCCTGGAATCATGCTTTTCATCCACTTGGCTTCAGCGGGATGGTTAAACCGGAGGAAGGTGGACTGACCCAGGCATAACATGCAGCCTGCAGAGAAAGCAAACATTTGCAAGAGCCAGTCAGAGCTGAAGCCACCCCAGCCCACAGCACCGGAGACCCATCCCCACCTGCACTCAGCGTCCACCCAGTGCCCACCTGTCCCTGCCCGTCCCTGAGATGGGCCCCCCAGGGCTCCAAAGCCAGGGCAGAGAGGAGAGAGCACTGGTGGGCAAGTGCCAAGATCTGCATCCTCCTCCTAACTCTTCTGAGTAGCTGTGTGATCTTCGAGTGAAGTCACTTCACCTTTGACTCTCATTTTCTCATCAGAAAAATGAAATGATACCACTGACCTTGCAGGCTTAGTGTGTGTGTGAAAGTACTCCATCAGTGCAGAAAGTTCTTTCGAGAACACAGACACTCATGGGCCCCCACCCCAACCTGTATCCATGATCCCTCTAATTGCCCCTTTAGAAGAAGGGTTAGTTTGAGAGGCAGCAGTTTCTGGGGTCACACCAAAAAAGTCTCTGAGAAGCCAGGCGTGGTTAGATACAACTTTAATCTCAGCTACTTAGGTGACTGAGGCAGGAGGATCTCCATAACTTCCAAGCCAACCTGAACAACTTAGTGAGACCCTGTTTGAAAAGCGTTAGAGACAGCTTAGTGATACAGCACCCCTGGATTCAATTCAGAAGTACTGAAAATAAAATAAAATAAAATAAAATAGTAAAACAACTCTGAAATAGGGAACAAGGCAAAAACATGGATTTGTGTGGGGCCCAGAAATTTTTTCTTTTGTTTTTAGAGACAGAGTCTCACTATGTAGTTCAGACTGGTCTCGAACTCACTATGTAGCCTAGGCTGGCCTCAAACTCGCAGTAATCCTCCTGCCTCAGCCTCCCAAGTGCTAGGATTACAGGTGTGCACCACCATGCCCATCCCCGACTCTTTGTTGCATGGCCTTAGGAAAGCTGCCACCCTCTCTGGTGGTACAGGGAGTAACCACTATCCTCTTTCTTTCCTTCTGGTAAAGCACCCTCTGTGTGCTCCCTGGTCTCCCTGGAAATCTAGCCAATCCGAGGCCACTGGGCTCAGCTTCACCCAAGCACATTCCCAGGCAGGAGTCACAAGCCCAGTCCTGCCTGGAGAGTGAGTGCATGGAAGGGGGAGGGTGAGTGGGAGCCAGAAAACATAGCCAGGGGCTCAGGAGTGTGCACAGAGGCAGGTGTGTCCACAGGCGCCTAGCCCTGGCTGGCAGAATTCCGCTTCTTGCCCATGCCAGGCGCTGGAGGGAGCCTGCTAAGCTGGGACAGGCCAAAGCCCCCAAGCTACCACCTACCCCTCCAATCTGTCCACACCACTGGCCCCAGCCTTCTGTCTTTCCAATCTGGTGCCATTTGGTGCCCCAAGCTTCATGCCATTCTGAGTTAAGACTGGCAGGGAAGTCTACATTCCTCGACACTGAGACACTTTAGCTCAGGCAGACCGCAAGGGCATGGGGCATCCCAGGCCACGTGGGTACTCTGGCAGGCCCCCTACTGAGAAGCTCAGGAGCCTACTCCTAGGACCTCGGGCAATGCCACTGGGTGGAGGTTAGGGCTAGCAGGCTGAGAAGCCCATCCCAATAACCATAGTGGTGCTGCCAAGCCACCAATCAGAGGAGCTGATCTCAGAGTAATCATAACTAGAATAAATAATAGTCAACCACACCGTCCACCTAATTACAACCACAGCTGTTTCAGGAAGAGCACTGCCAGGCCCCTGTCCTTCCTTTCAGCCATTTAACAACCTAATTAATGATGAGTTTGCAAGGTCTAGACAGACCCACTCAACCCAGGTTGAGAGGGGAGTGGGTGGAGCTGGGGGGTGGGGAATCTGACCTCACAGACCAGGCTGGAAAAGAGGTGGGGGTCTGATGGAATCCATCCAGCAGTGCCAGACCCACCTACGGAGGTTCTGGGCATCTAGGACCCTCCACCCTGGCCTCTATAGCCATGGGGGTCCCTGCCCCCATCCCTCTCCCACACAGGGGGTGTGGCCATGCCGCCTGTCAGCTATAAATAGTGATGCCAGGCAGCGGAGCAGGAGCTGTATTAATAGAGCGGGCAGGAGAGCAGCAGGACCGAGAGCAGCCCAGCTCCTGCCCAAATTAACTTTCTATTTGAATTCAGGGGCCCCAGGCACAGCCCCAGCTCTGGCCCCTAACACCCACAAGGACCGGCAAGCACGTTTCTGGAAGGAAGCCCCCTCTCTGCCCCCTCCGGCTTCACACCCTTAAGGGCCAAAGCTCTCCGGAACCACAACCCAGAATCCATCCGGCCAAAATCATGGTCTCTGGCCCCCATGCCCAGAGGGGCTCAGGGTCCAGCCCCGCGCAGGTAGGTGGAGGAACTGCACAACTGGAGAGAAAAAGCTGGGCAGAGGGCGGATCCTATCTCTGCGCGCTGTGGAGGGGAAATATCACACACAGACTCACGCAGAAACACGCACGGACTCAAAGACAGAGGTCCTCACACCTTCGCAGAGGGCAGTCCCTGCCTGCTGGCCACATAACCAGAATGGACTGGCCAGAGGGAGGCTGGACAGGATGGGAGGGTCTTCGCCCTTCCCATCACAGAGCCCTCTTGGCCGTAACACAGGCTCCCCTCATCCCAACCAAACCCTCAACCCCTCAGGGGGCAGGTCTTCAGGGGGACTGCCCGGCGCTGGGAAACACGCGGTCGGCACCACTGAGAAGTGTCTCCAAGCCCAGGCCCCCACGCGGAAATATTCAGGGCGCACCACTCTCGAGTCTCACGGCCTTGGGCTCCCAGGAAGGGACCAAGGTCCCCATCCCCCTCCCTCGCGCCCACCCTCCCCAGGTCGCGCCGGCTGCCTGAGGCTGAGGACTCACCGCCGACCCCGGACCTCCGGAGCGCTCGCGCCCGCCAGCGCGGGCCCAGCAGGTCCGCTGCCCGCCCTGGGCCTTTGAGGGGGCGGGCCGACCTCCCGCGCCGCCGGCTCCGGCCTGAGCGAGGAGCCAAGCAGCCAGCAGCCGCCAGTGCCCGGGGAGGGGCGGGCCGGCCACCGGCGGCGGGGGAAGGGAGCCAGGAGGGAGGGACAAAGGCGAGGAGGAGGGGAAGAGGAAGTGATGGAGGAGACGAGTGTGGAGCGGGATGGAGAGGGCGGGGCGGACGTGAGGATGCCGCTCCAGGAGCAGGAGGAAAAGTGGGACAGGGCGGACAGAGGTTTGAGGGAGGGGCCACTGGAACAAGTAGTAAGAGGTAAATACAGAGACCCGGCCGTGGTGGAGCTCGCCTATGATCCCAGCACTCGGGAGGCTGAGGAAGGAGGATCGCCTCGAGTTCGAGGCCAGCCTGGGCTACATATTGAGTTCTTAGCCCTGTATCGAAAAAGAAAAGAAAGAAAAGAAAGACAAAGAAAAGAAGGTAGGGGATAAAGAGCCAGGAGGCGCTTCTTTGGGGGGGGGGGGCTGGGTCTTGTTACCTAGCTCAGGCTGGCCTCGAACTCACTATGTAGCACAGGTTGGCCTCGAACTCGAGGCAATCCTGCCTCAGCGCCCCCCCCCCCAGCCTCAAGCTGGGAATACCGGCGTGCACCACCACGACACCCAGCTGTGCTTCTAGCATAGGTCTCACCCAGAGCCCTCTAGAGTAGGACGATGGTAGAGGTGCCCTTCCTATGTGGGGAATGATGCCACAGAACCTTCAGGGATGCACCACATTCCTTCTCTCAGAGGCACACACCGACACTGCTCACACTGAAGAGTAACAAAAGCACCCTCATTATACACACTGTGTCTCTTACACACACATATTCTCACACACTCATCCCCCAGCTCCAACACTCACTCAGGAACGGCTATCCTTTCTCTCCACCCTTGAAAAGACTGAAATAAAAAATCTCCACAGAGACATAATAAGGGAAATTTTCCACCCTTGCTGAATAGTACACTCCCACCCACTCACACTGCCATACTACACACACATACACACTCACACACACACATGTGCATTCACTCACATATGCCCACAAAACTCATTTCCTTCCAAAGAAAAAGGAAGACCCATATGGGGTCAAACGCAAAATGAGGGGAAGCGTTAAAATTTAAAAAAAAAAAACCTCCTCAGGAAGAATGATTCATCGGTCTGGAAACTATGACGGCCAGCTGGACAGTCCCAGGCAGCCTGAGTGATCCCGCTAGCGAGAAACGGCAGGAGGCAGACACGAGGGAGTGGGAAGCTGAGCTTTATAGTATTTGAGCTCTTTATCATCTTCTTAGGGTACAGAGTAAGCTTGGAGGCTTTCTTCCCAGTTTATAGGAGTAACTGACAACTGCTGGTAGAAGAGAGGCCCAGTGTCCTAGGTCCCAAAGAGAGGCATCTGGATAACCTAGAAACCATGGCTCCCCAGCTACCCTCCTCCTCTGGCCCCACACAGTCTCCACCCACCACCACCGAGGGGCTTAGGAAGTAAGGGACACTTACAGCCAAGGGCTGGCAGCACATGGCAAGAGTGGATAGGAACTGTCTAGACATCTTGGGGCCCTGAGCTATGTGGCGTTCTGAGGCCTCCCCTACTTAGTTCCCTCCCCAGTCTTTCATGTGGTCTGGCCTGTGGTCCCAGGGTGGGGCAGCCTGGACCCACTGGGCCTTGTTTCCTCGGTCCCATTCTCAGCCCCACCCCTTGCTCTGTAGAGAAGAGGGCAGCATGGGCTGTGCCAAGTGCCTGGGTCCAGGAGTGGAACCAAGGTCCCCCTGGCTCCCTCACATCATGCTCCCATGTTCATAGCTCTAGGCTAAAGGTTGGCATCTGCTTTCTGCCAGCCTCCTCCCTGCCTCGGCTAAAGCACACTCCTGCTGGAAGAGCCTGTCACTGCCATCTCTGCCTGTCATAACTGTGTCTCTCCAAGTTGCCTATGGCTGGGCACAATGCCCAGAATGATGCTTCCATGGCCTGGCCAGCTTTGTTATTCCCAAGATATCCCTCTGTTTTTCAAAGAGGAAGGTCTCATCTACAAGGCTAGATGAGGGCTATAAGACAGAAAAAATGGGGCCAGGGATTTAGCTCAGTGGTGCCACTGCCTGCCTCTCAAGCACAAGGACCCAAGTTGGATCCCCAGAACCCAAAGAAAAGGACAGAAAAACTGATGGTCCTTTTTTTTTTTTTTTTTTTTTGTAACACAGGAGATTTAGAGCCTTTGCACTGAATTACATCCCAGACCCCTTTTTTAGTTTTTAATTTTGAAACAGAGTCTTGCTAAGTCATTAGGTTACCCAGGCTTGGCTCAAATTTGTGATCCTTCTCCCTCAGCCTCCAAGAGTACTGGGATTATAGCCATTGCCACCATGCCCACCTAAGTGGTCTTATATACATGACCACAAGTAGGCATAGGTCCAGTGAGTTCCAGTATACACAGAAGGATGTACACATAGACATTTTGGTTCCCTCAGTCCCCCTTTCACCCCCACGAACCACTTGAACATGCTAATCCATAAACACAAGGAAAGACACAAACAAACAGAGATGTACAAGCCCTGCATCCCAAGAATATCTGGAGATGTATAAACATACTCCAGTTATGCAGACACACAGAGATAGCATATGCACCCCTGAGCCACTCAGTTTCCAAGGAAACGCACTCCCAAGAATGTCCGGAGTGGGGCCAGGCAGGGCTGGGCTTGGTGCCTTGCTTTAGAGATGAGACAAGGAAACCCTCAGCTTCTGGAGCCCAGGGGAGGGGGTGGCTAGGGAGAAGAACACCCATTCCTTTGTGCCTCCGCCTACCCCTCCTCTGGCTGCCAAGCTTAGGAAACAGGCGAGGCCAGACTAGAAAGCTGAGGGTGCTGGGAGGCAGAGAGTTTAGGGTCAGAAGAGAGTGGGAGGGTACATATTTGGCAGGGTGGGCTTCTGGCTGGGGAAGGGGGGGTCACTGGGGCCACAGGAAATGCTTAAGAATTCCATGGTGGCCTCAGGCCCTCCCTTTTCTCAAGAGCTAAATGATGTGCTGGGAAGGCCAGACAAGAGAGGGCATTGGTCCCTTCATCCTGCTCACCACACACAGGGCGAGAAGTCTGTCACCCATGGAAGCCATGGGACTGGGGGCTATGGAGTAAAGGCTGGGCCATCTTTAAACTTTGCCCTGCCTCTCCTTTCTGCCCTATTTTCTCACCTGCATGCACCCAAACCCTGGAGTGGATGCATGCTCTCTCTGGGACTAGAGGGGAACTAGATAGCATTATGGCCAAAGCCCCAGTTAGGGATGCTGAAGCCCTGGAGAGGGCTTTCAGAATTTGCTTCCCTGAAACTGGCCGTCCTTGCATGTTCCAATCCCAAAGGCAGGGGGCTCAGGAGTGGGGTTTGGCCAGTTCTTAGATCAGCTGTGAAGAAATGGTGTGTAAAGGTGTCAAGGGATGTGCACAGAAGGATCTTAGGAGACAATGGAGGAAGGGGGGACCTCCAGGCAATGTGAGTCCCCAGAAAACAATGCTCCTGTCAGCCCCTCTGCTGAGAGCCAGGTTCAGCCCAGAACCCACACCCTCATGTTCACCTCACCTCTAACCCCCAACCAAATCTGCTTTTTCTCACTCCCCTAATCAGGCAATTTGCTGTATAAATCGATGCCTAGAACACTGTTTCCAGTATGAGCACACCTGGCCTGTCAAGTGCTACCTGGCCATCCATTGCCTGCCTGGTAACCATAGTGATTAGGGGCCTTACATAGCAGGGCCTCCCTTGCACAACAGAATGGCCTGGTGCTATTGGAAACAGCATGGTTACCATATTCATGACCCAAAAGCCACTGTTAACAATCTTGTAGCAGGAGCAGGCTCCTCTTCAAATTTTGCCTTCATATTCTACTCTTCTCCCATCCCCACAGCAGGTTTTGTCCTCTACAGCTTCTCAAAACAACTCCCTCTTGACATTATGGAACAATATCTGTTTCCTCCCTATTTTTTTTTAAATTCAGTATTGGGGATTGAACTCAGGGAGTACTGAGCTATATCCTCATCCCTTTTTATTTTTTATTTTGAGACAGAGGCTCACCAAGTTGCCCAGGCTGGGTTCAAACTCATGATCTGCTGCCTCAACCTCCAAGGTAGCTGGGATTACACGTGTGTGCCACCCTGTCCTGCCACTGATGCCCTTTTGCTGCTGTTCCATCTGCTCTCCCCCAACAACCACTAACAGCCCTCTGGGCTGGGACCTCTGACAGCAAAAATCCGAACCTTTTCTTTCTCCATGGTGTAGGGAAGCAAGGTGAGGGCAACCAGAAAAGAAAGGCAGGTTGGAAACAAATCTGAATGCTGGAGGGGTTTGAGATGTTGTACATCAAGAGGCAACTGAGTATGGCCATTCAGGCAGTTACCATAGCAACCACTACAGCTGGCTTCCCTCACACCCAGCATTTACAATCTTTGAAACAGAGGCACTTTCCTCAGTTTGAGGGTATCAAAACTTACCCTGAGTGAGCCGGGTTGGCTGCCGAACTGGGAGCCCATCAATAGTACAAGCATTGCCACAAGGGTAGAGGGTGAGGGTACCCCGCAGATTCTCAATGTAGCAGTGCTCTGGAGCCAGGCCTGGACCCTGCAGGGAGATGTCCTTGGCCGCAGAGCCAATCACTGTCCTCCCTAGAGACAGGAAGCAAACTGAGTCAGAGGGGTGCAGGCTGAGGAGGCAGGGAGAGGGCAAGGAGGGACATGATGGAAATACATTTTCACTTCCTAGCTCTATCCACCACTGGCCACCCATATTGGGCCCCCTGAGCCTGGTGAGCCAGTAACTGATAGCTCTGTTCAAGCAGAGAAAACGGCCTCAGAATGCAACAGCCCAGAGGGCACAGGAGCCAGTCTCCCCTGAGGGAGTAGAGAAGTAGGGCTTCTTTTCTACAGTCCTCTCTTAGTCCCCCAAACTGCCCCTCCATATATTCCTTTTCCTCTTCTTGCTATTTCTCCCTCTTTTCTTCTAAATCTCCCTCCCTTCCTTCTGCCACCTGCAACCCATCCCCGCCCAGCCCATTCTCCCTCCCCAGCACTCCAGTGCTGCTTCACCCCAAACCCCTCCTTGGCATAGCCCCTGGGACTGGTATTTGGAGAATGTGGGGAATGTAGTCATCTCCTGGGCAACAGGTGCAGCCAGGAGAGGAGAAGGAGGGCAGAAGCTGAGGGCTGAAGGGGGCCATGCCAGGGCTCCCCTTGGGGTATGGTGTCCCTGCTCCCATTTTTCCATGCTCCCCCAGTCCAGCTTCCTGGGCCAGGCAGCATCTTGGAGTGGGGCTCCCTTTCTTCTGGGCCACACTGGTGGCTCAGAGCAATATGCTCTCCTGTTTCTCTTAGAGCTCTCTTCCTTGTTTCTAAACGGATCTTTAATCCCAGTCACAGGAGCCAGATTATCTACCAAAGAAGGCAGGAAGTCTGGGAGGCAGAAACAAGAGGAACATTGCTTGCAGATGGCGGAAGGGCCCCCAATTCAGTCAGGGGCCTGGCCTCCAGGGGGCCAGTTAGGACATCTTGTCTTTGCTTACCTTCCTCCAGTGGCAGGAGGGTGATGGCAGTGCTGAGCCGCCCGCTGCCCAGGCTCACCAGGTGGGGTTTATCCGTTTGCACTTTAAGCCCCTTGCCTGTTTCAATCAGGTCCAAGGGTCCCTTCTGCAGGTAGTGGGGGTGGAGAATGAGCATCATTAGAGACTTCAGGCCAGCACCTTACCTCCCTGGTCACAGTCACACGGTACGCTCTCCGGACTCAGTTCCTCTCCAAAGAGCTCTGAGGGTGCTGAAGGGTTTCGCACAAAATCTTAGCCAGAGCATTGTCCCACTAAATTGTAATTAGATCTGAATCTAGGCCACTAACTCATCCCACTGGATTTATCTCAAATCTTGGCTCAACTGCCCCTTTTTGTCTAAAACAGAAGCAAAGCAAGAGGGGTGGGGCAGGCAGGGGCACTGGGAAGGCGGAGTGGGCACTGTAGGAGGGCCAGCCCAGCTCTGCAGCCTCATCGGGGGCTATCTGCAGGGCCACTGCTTGCCTCTCCTAAACTAAGCTACCAAGGAGGGTGGAGGAATGGATCAAGGTGATACAGCCCAGAGCCTATCTGTAAACTGCTTTCTGACTTTCAAAGAGGTGTTTCTGGGTGAACCAATTAACCTGATTCAGATAAAGACTGAGCTGTTAATAGGCTTAGGACCTAGGGAAGGGCACAGAGAAACAGAACTGCTGCTCTCATCCCTGAGCTGGAGCCTCAGGTGTATAGAAGGCCTAAGCCCATCCTTATAACCCCTCTCTTGCTCTACAGCCCTGACCCCACTCACCTGCACCATGGCCTGGGTCTTGCATCCAGGGCCTACATGGCTCCTATTGAGAGCATCCATGGTCCTAGGGTTCCAGAACTCCTGGGGACACAGCATAAAGCAGGTGATGGGAGAAGAGCAGGGAGGAAGAAGGAAAGTGGCTCTGTGACAGGGTTCTCAGGACAAGGACAGCACCAGCCACCACCATTCCCAACATGCTCATGCTAAAGGAAAGGTGGGGGCGGCTACAGAGTTGGGGGAGAGGCAATGCCTGGTCTGCAGCCTCCAGCCAGAATGCAGGCACCACAGTTCACCTGTCCTGGCCCTGGCCACTGAAAGCACAGTGCCTGGCCTGTACGTCTAGGTTTTCTTGCTCTATGCTACTCAGAACCCAGGTCTCAGAAGCTGAAGATTCCCAGCTATCTGGAGCCTTACCCATGCATGGTGAGAAAACTATCTTAGTAGGAGGAACAAAATCCAGTGTTCAAAACCCAAAGACATGGGTAGCCAGAGGGTGACCAGGTGGGTAGTAGGGCTGAAGCAGGAGTTCCCTTCCTCAACCTTTCCTTCTTTTCTCTCTTTGTCTTTTTTCCCAGGGGTCTTAGTAGGATTTTTTAAAAAGGAGACACAGGGAAAATCCAGCCATTCCTGTCATCTCTGTATATCTCAACTCCTATACCTTCTCTTCCCCAGAAATCAGCTTTACCCCAACACAATCAGCTCCAAATCCCAGTGGTGACTATTGAGAGTGCAAGACTCAGTTCCTACCTGGCTTGGTGCTATTTGGGGAGCTAAGGCCCTTAGAACCAGGGATAAAATAGATTACAGAGCCAGAACCCGAATCCCTCAGCCACCTACCTGCCCCTCTTTCCCTGGCTCATGCTTTTGGTACCTGAGACTGTAAAGAGGATCCTGTGTATACTAACATGTCCCCATATCCCCATCCCTTGGCCACCTTGCAAAGGCGAGAAATTTCTCATTGGCTACTGAAATGTTACTGGGGATGGCTGAGGGCTGGAGAGGTGGACCCAGGAAAAGTCTCCCTTTGCTTTCACAGTTTCAGCCATCTCCCAGATGACTTACAGAGGAAACAGGGGCAAGAGCCAGCATTCCAAAGAGTATCTGGGCCTGGCAGTAGGTCTTCAGCCATGGAGTTACTATATTTACCCTCCCAGCTTCCACCCTTCCTGGCCTGGACCACATAATCTCTGTCACCATTTCCACCCAAGCTAGCGGAAGAGAGGCTGGAACAGTGCCTGGGGCCCACCTCAAGACTGTTTGGGAGGAGGGAAAGCAAAGGCCATTAACCCCACCATGCCCTAAGCTGGCCTGCCACCTCCCCAGGAATCTTGGCCACAGGGAAGAGTTTCCATGGACAGAATGCTGTACTGCTTCCTTAAACTCAGGGAAATCCCTCAGCATTTCCTGAGAGAAGGGAATGGGTTAGGAATAGGAAGTTCATGTAAAAGAGTGGAAAAGAAAAATAAAATAGGTTCAGGGATTTAGCTCAGTGGTGCCGCACCTGCCTCACAAGTGTAAGGTCCTGAGTTCGATCCCCAGTACCATAAAAAAGAAAAGCAAAATAACAAACAACATTGAAAGGAAGGTATTGTCCTTTAGTGGGAAAAGTTTTAGAGTGGGATGAAAAGTCTTAAATTCTACCCTGAGGCTGGGCATGGTGGTGCACACCTGTGATCCAGCACTCAGGAGGGTGAGGCAGGAGGATCACTGTAAATCTGAGGCCAGTCTGGGCTACATGGGGAGTTAAGGACAGCTTGAACTGCCTAGTAAGTCCCTGTCTCAAAAAACCTAAATAAATAAATAAATTCTACCCTGAATTTATTATTCATTAGCTGTAAGATCTCGGGTAAGTTACTTCAGTTCTCTCATTGTTAAGTCAATATTCTATAAAACTAGAATAATAATTTTTGTTTTTCTTTTTGTTTTTTTGGTACCAGGGATCGAACTCCTTGTGTTTGCAAGGCAGGCGGCGGAACCACTAAGTGAAATCCCCGGCCCTAAAATAATAATTTTTAAGAGATTATCTAGATCAGTGCTTGCCTGAGTTGGGGGTGGAATTCAAAGAGACTGTAAATGGGCAGAACATTTTTTTGGAAGGGTGTGTTAGATTCTAAAATTAAATTGTGGTGATGGTTGTTCAGCTCTAAACATACTAAACTCATTGCACACTTGGGTAGATTTTAGGGTATATAAATTAAATCTCAATAAAGCTGTTAGTTTTTTTTTTTTAAAGACTGTCTGGAGACTGAGGTAGCATACTAAATGACACTCCATGAAATGCAAAACTCTGTATAAATGTCAGTTGTTAGTATGACCTGTATAATCTTAAGTAAGGCACTGTGGCTGTCTGGGCCTCGGTTTCTCCATCTGTCACCCCGGAGTGTTTGTCACCATCGCTCTTTGAGGTATTTGGGCGTGTTCATTTATTTACACCAAAGAACTTCAAGTGGAGATAAAGGCTGTAAAGAAACGAGTTTGATGGGGGAATGAGTGATTAGAGGAGAGAAGAGAAAGCTACAAGGAGGTGAAAGGAGAGGGAAAGATAAAGAGAGAGGTGTAGGGAGAAGATAAGAAAAGATGTAGAGATTGGGAGGTTCGAGGCTGTGGCCCCAGCTCGGAAATTTAATCCAGGTGAAGTGGAAAAAGACTACCAGCTTGCCAGGCCTCAGGTCGTGCTGTGGCCGACGAGTCTCGCTGTGGCCCAGGGAGCCGCCACCTGGGGGCGCCTTGTCCTCGGACCCTCAACCCAGGCCTCGGAGGCGCTAGCTGGCCCGCCTCCATTCCACTCAGCCGCAGCCCCCTAACCCGGACTGTAATTACCACCTAGTCTTGCCCGGCCTCCGGGGCCCTTCTGGGAAACCCTATCCCGCTCCGCTGCCAAAAAAAAGGTCCCTGTGGCGCAAGTCCGGCTCCCGCTGACCCTCCCGCACTCGGGTACACGGGACCAAGGTGGCAGAGGTCTAGGTGTTCGGATTTGGCGAGCTGCGGCGAGGGTCCCCGCGTGCAGCGAGGCTGGGAGTCCCGCAGGTGACCCCGTCCGCCCCTCTGGCCTCCTCGCCCAGCCGGGAATGCGCCGGCAGCCGCTCTCCACCGAGCGGGACGCCAGAGTCAACCCTTGGGGGGCTCGGCACCGAATGAAGATGAAGGGAGACTGGGGTGGGGGAAGCACCAGCTCTGGCACCAGCAGTCATTAAAAGAGGTCCCCAGCTCCCAAGGGGGCCCAAGATGAAAGGTCCAAAGCCGACCCCAGAGTAAAAGGCCGGGCTCCCCGCGGTGCCGCTGCTCCGACCAGCCCAAACCCCTACGGGTCACCCAGCCCTCACCTGGGTCCCCGGGGCCCAGCAGAGGCCCCGTCCCGGGCGTCGCATGGCTGTGGCGGGACCTGAGGGGCTGAGCCGAGATCCTCTCGGCCAGCTGTAGCATTCACCTTCCCGGCGCACATCCGCCCTCGAGGAAGGGCCTCCGTTAGAGGAAGGAGTCGGACCGGAAGGAAACTGAGGCTGGCAACACAGCGGGCAGGATGCCCAGGCGGGGCGGGGCAGGACGAAGGTGTCCAAGGGCCAGGGGCGGAGAGAACTTCAGAATGAGAAAAATGAGGCAGAAAAGGGGCGTTCGCGGGGACGAGGAGGGGACACGCAGGGATTTGGAGGGGGAAATGAAGAGGGACGGGGTGGGGGCGGATGAGGAAAAAGGAAAACTGGGGAGGAAGATACCGAAGGCAGAGGATAGGAGAGCCAGAGAACAGGGGCCTCAAATGGAGGGGATGACCGGCAGGGAAGACTGGGAAGCACTGGGAGGTACTGGGGGTTGGGGGGCAGTTGGCGAGGAGCTGGAGTAGTGGGGGAGCAGAGAGGTGGGCAGCAGGGGACAGAGGCGATCGAGCCGGGGAGAGACGTGCGTGTCTTTTATGGGGGCGCTGGAAAAGTGCACCTCTTAGAAGCGAGGCCCCGCGGGATTTCCGCACCGGAGAGGCCCCTCGGCCCGCCCTGGGCCGCGCGGGGGACAAGGCCACAGTGTTGGGCCGCCTCGCCCTCCCGCCCGCCTTCGCCGCGGGACAAGCGGCCTTTCTTTGGCCGGGGAGGGAGAAGGAGACGCTTGTTTGCGCAGCGGGGAAAGGGGGCGGCCCCCCACACGGCGCCGCTCCAGCCGGGCAGCTGCGGGAAATTGGCTGTGTGTAGGGGTGCGCCTGTGAGCTCGTGGGGAGTGTGGTGCAGGCTAGGCGTGGGTGAGGGTGCTGTGCGTGTGACGCGGCGCATGTGTACGTGTGTGCGGCTCGTGGGAGTACGGCGTGGGGTGCCGCGTGGATCCCCGACGCGGTGGGAGCTTGTGCTTGTGTGACAACGGCTGCTAGGTGAGCCCGCCGTCGGATGAGTCAGCCCCCGGGAGCCTCGGGGACCGCTGAGCTAACAGGCCCAGAATGCAGCCCCGCCCCGGCGCCCCGGGTCCGCTGCCTGGCAGTGCGGTCGCGGTCCAAGTCCCCGCTCGCGCCCACCTTGGCGGAAGCGTCCGCGGCGCCTCGGCAACCCGGAGCTCAGCGGCCCCACCCAGCCGCCCGCTGCACTTCCCCATCCCCGGGGAGTCCGATGACTTGTCGCAGCCTCGTCGCGGGGATCTCCGCCAGGCATTCGGATCCAGACCGCGGAGGCGCGGCAGAGGCTGGGAGTCATTCTTCCAAGGTGCCCCGTGCCTGGGCCTTGAAGGAGTGTCTGGGAGGTCCCAGACACGCTTCTCCTCTCCTGAACACCTCCAAACACCCCTCCTGAACTCCTATCCCTCCAAGCTGGACTCCGCATCCCTTCCCTGTCCAACAAGGCTTGCTGGCATGGGGACAAGAACTGAGGCACTCTAAGGGATCCCCTTCCCAGTGGTCCTGCTGTTAGGTGAAAGGGGGCAGTAGTGGACCCTAGAGACAAGACACGCACACACTTGCCACCCGAGACCCCGAGAGTGGCAACCTGGCCGTCGGGGTGCCAGCAGGAGTCTGGATCCCAAAAGGCCCAGCGTCTCTCCGGGGAGAGAGCACGAGGGCCCCCCCTGGCGGTGGCGCTGGCAGCAGCTCGGGAGGGCAAAAGCAAACAGCTCTTGGGAAAGCAGCAATGCTGACTCCCACAAAAGCCCCTTTCGTCTATAGGCACTCACCTGAGAAGTCCCCCTCTTCCCCCACGGGCTTCTTCAGAGCCCTCTAGCCCAGAGCTGACCGCGCCAGGGCCCGGGGACTTCCCCCTGTGCAGTCCCAGCCTTGCAGAGAATGGCAATCTCAGGCGTAGCGGGAGTGGGCGCACTTACCAATCGAGGAGAGGGGGACACTGGTCCCCGCGCCCGGTTTGGCCGCGGCGGCCTCAGGCTCCGAGGGACACTGTTGCTTTTCCCTAGAAGCCTGCGGAGTAGGAGGAGAGCGAGCCCGTCCCGCCTCCCTCCTGCTAGTCCCCGCCCCTACCCCCGTCCTGTCCCGTCCGTCCGTCAGGGCAGCCAGAGAAGACGCCCTTGTGGAGCTGGAGCCCAAGGTCCCCCACCCACCCTTTCCCACAGCAGCACCTCCCCACCCCCTCGCCTGCACAGCGTCCACTTTGTTCATCTGTACAGCTGGGCTGTCCACCACCACACACACCCTCTCCTCCCGCCCTCCCCTTTGGCCTTTGGACTCTCCTAGACCACCCTTCACCCCTAGGCTCTGATGTATTCTCATTCATTCTCTCTTTCTCTCTCCCCCTCCCTTTCCCCTTCCCCTTCCCTCCCTCTCCTCCCCCCAGGTACTGAAACTTCCACTGGTGGCTAGTGAATCTCCTGGTTGCATCCCCTACAATATGCTCTCAACATTTCCTCAGAACATCTGCTGAGGTCTTCCCTGTCGCCCTTTTCCAAGCCCCACAGTGAAGAGCTGTAAATGGGGTTGATAACCTCACATCAGGCTCCACAGATTTTCTTCCTAAGGACCAGTATGAGACAAAGACATGTTGAGGTGTCATGCAAACTAAGCACAGGAAAGTTAGTGGAGTTATCATTTTACCTCCATTAGCTGAACCCCAGTCGACCTGCTGGATTAGATTGGGAGTGGAAAGGCAGGCTAGAGACACACTAGCCTAGAGCATGCTAATAAGGAAGAGGGGCACTGAACACCTAAAAGCAGCCTAGAAACCTGGTCTGGTTGAAGTCATTCTCTATCTCAGCCTCCACCTGGAAATCCAACACTGACAGTGGATCCTTACCTTGCAAAGCCAGCTCTTGCCCCAGGAGACTGGCTGGGAGGCCCCAGGGAGCTGAACTCAGCTAGACCGGACCTCCTCACCTACACTGGAGGGACCCCAGACACTCCTCGCTGAAGGAAGGAGCAGAAAGACTTCAAGTCTGGCCTAAATTCCAGCTGGGCTGGATAGCAAAAGGTAATTTGTCCTCTTTGGGATGGACAAGACCTGTTCTGATTCAGTGGCTTTAGTTTGTGCCCTCTCTTCTAACCCAGGAGGCTGAACTGCCGGAATCTCTGGTCACTCATTGACAGGGCTAGCATTCCTGGGGAGGGGGCATGCCCCAAGCTTGAGCTGACCACAGCCAAGCAGTGACAAGAAATGGGAGGTGGGGGCTGGGGATGTAGCTCACTTAGCAACCATGAGGCCCTGGGTTCAATTCCCAGTACAGGAAGGGGAGGGAGAGGTGTTACTACCTGGTCTAGTTAATGGGAGTGGGACAATCAGGCTCCTGCATACACCATGGGTACCAGAAAACCCTAGCAGTTTTGTGTGTGTGTGTGTGTGTGTGTGTGTGTGTGTGTGTGTTGGGGCAAGCCTCTTAATCTTCCTGTCTGCATACTGTTCGAAGTTCACACAAGTATTTTAACCTCAGGCCAACCTTCATGAGGCAGATCACAACAGTAATTTTCAGTCTATTCTAGTGTGTAAAAAAAGAAAGAAAAGAACCAAAACTGTTGTATCCTATGTGCCAAAACTCAGCATTTGAGAGGCTCAGATTGGGGTACCTCAGAGACTTTTCATTGTTTCACAACCCCCAGCTCCGCTTTACCCCCTTGGTCAGGAGGAATTTCAAGGAATAATCAAGCCGGGTACAGAGACAGCTGATGCTGAGGCAGAGGGTTCAAACAGCACTTAACTGTTGTCACCATCTCCCCACCCAGGGACAAGTTGACCCCATGAAGGTTCTGTGCAATGTGTCCTCTCCTGCTGTGTCAGGTCTCTGTGTTCCCACAGTTAGAACAGAACACTCAGGGGACTAAAGACCTACCACCCCCACCCCTCCACCCTCATCCCACTCCACATCTGGAGCCCATCAAAAAATTCAGTGCTCTCTCACAGTTACGCAAGAGGTCGAGCAGCTGGGAGCTCAGGAAAGGGGGAGGAAGAGAGAAGAAAGCAGAAAACAGCTCTCCAGGCATGCTTCAGACTTTCCGAAATGAAAGCAGGGGGAGGGCAAAGGCTGGGTGTGGAAGGAAGGGTGGATTTTTTCAAGGCCTTCTGCACTTGGCTATAAATGTCAGGAGTGGATTTCCACACTCCTCCCGTCTTTGCTTTGACACATTTCCCACTCTCCCTCTCTCAAATTGTACTCCCTTTAGACCCAGAAAGAGATGGCTTTTGCTCATACCTCCAGCAGTCCCTGTAGATAGCCCCTCCCAGAAAGTTATCCTTTTCTAACCTCTTTGGATCCTGAACTCAAGCATCATTAATGTAGGCGTGGTGGCACCAATGATGCCAAGGAACTCCTCACTGCATCCTACTTGGGAAAAAGCTCAGACTTTGCTTCAGTAGCTGTAAAGCAGAAGCTCTTTTCTCAGCTTGTCTTAAAAAGACTGTGCAATCCACACTTCCACCAAATCTAACACATCTGAGGAGGAAATTTGGGTAGGAAAAACTGGCTACCTCTGTGGCTCAGAACTTTCCTATGAGCTGAAAAGAACAAGCATCCAGGGCTGGGAGTACAGCTTACTGGTAGTGTGCTGTTCAGCATGTGCATGCACTACTCACCATGATAACCACTCAGCCTCTATCCTACATAGTAAGAAACTTTTGTTTTGGTGGATGGGAGGATGGCTTAGGCTTCTAAAAACTGCATAGCAACTTGACTTCTTGTGAAAGAGGAAAAACAGCCCAGCTAGGAAAGGTAGTCTCATTTTCTTTTTTCTTTTGATTCCCGTGTTGATGCTTGTAAGTTGCTTATGGCGCTAGCTTTTGGGTTTTGAGTCTGTTGAAATTTTATTTTATCCCATTCCCCCCTCAAGCCCCCTCCCCTCCCTATGTACAAAATCTTTGTTTCCATTAAGGTAGCCTCATTTTGGAAAAGCCTGGCCTTGTATCAATCATTACCTCTCCAGGGTGAGATGTAAAACACTGTTAAGAGATGCTTCTGCCCTTGGATAACAGCAATGCATAGCAACCGACCCACATGTGAATCTCTAATAGGAGTTCCAAGCTCTAGAGCTGTACATGTATTTACCAAAGGGCACAAAGAGGGACTGGAAGGTTCTGTTTAGATGTGTACTATAAAAGGAATTCTGTTTCTGCTTCAAGATTCCTCAAGCCCATTCTCCACTGCACTCTCCAGACTCAGGTTACTAATTGTAGTTAACACTTGTCTAGCTTAGAAAAATACTTCATAAGTAGACACTGCTTCTAGTTACACACACACACACACACACACTCAGCCAGTACTGGGGATTGAACTCCGGACCTTGTGCTTGCCAGGCACAGCACCAGTGAGCTACATCTCCGGCCCTAGACTAAATATTTTTGATGAAAACTTCTCATCACCTTAAAAATAACCTTGCTAGATATGAACCTTAGTAAGACTATACTGCATCAACCCTGGAAATCACTCAGATCCAAACTTAAAATTAACTGGAAGGCAGTTTTGTCTGTCAAAAATGCACAGGTTGAGATCTGGGGTTTGCAGCTACTAAATAAATGAATGACTGACCTTTTCAAAAAGGAATTTG